CCGCGTCCAACATAACTTCTTCGTTTTTATTTGTGTTTTGCTCCTCTTTTTACCATTTGACCACCCAATTTTTTTTTTTTTTTTTTTTTTTTTTTTTTTTTGCTTTTTTTTTTGCTTTTTTTTTGGGGGTTGTTTTGGCATTATTTTGGTTCTATACCAGGACCCATCCTTACACCTACCAACACATTGTCCTGACGCGTTTAGTGTGTAAAGTTGCGAGTATATGCAGGTACATTTCGCATTCGAACAACAAACATGTTAGATCAGTGGTCTCTAAGTTTTCTACTTTCTCTTTTGGTTTTCTTTCACTCTTTAAGCTTTTTCTTAACACTGCCATCTATTTCAGTTTTGTCTTCGAATCAAACAGAAACAGAAACAGAAACAGTGGCATTGACTAAACTACATTTACGAATAATAGAGTCTTTAAGATCCATCATTAACTAAATCCTGTTGCCAAATCGATTCACAGAAACCTGCGACTTTTTTTTTTTTTTTGATTTAAAATTTTTTTTCTTTTTCTTACAACCAAATCAAATCGTCGTCAAGTGAAAACTCACCAAAGAAATTTGATACTAATTACAATTTCTTGATCAAGGTTTACATAGAAGACAAAGAAGAAGGATTGATCCAAAGACAAGAATCAATTAACCAATAGTACTGGAAATCACGAACTAAAGATACGGAATTGGAAAAATATACTGCCCGAGGACTAATAATAAAAAAAAACACGCCTCTGTTGTTATTTTACTTTTTTTTTATTAATTGATTTTACATTTTTATTGCTTGACTCCCAATTATGGTCTCCTCTTATGATGTTGGTACCAGATGTTGGTACCCGGATGAGAAACTAGGTTGGCTTGGAGTCTCCGTGACCAAAAATGTAAAGGAAAGTGACAATAAGTTCCTTGTTGAGTTGACTTCAGAGTTGGATGATTCCATTAAGTTCAACGTTGAAGCAACTTCTTTGGACGAGGAAAATGATAAGCTCCCACCATTGAGGAATCCGCCTATCTTGGAAGCAGCTGAGGATTTAACCTCGCTTTCTTATCTTAATGAACCTGCTGTGCTTCATGCCATCAAGTTGAGATACTCACAATTGAACATTTACACATATTCTGGGATCGTTCTTATCGCCACGAACCCCTTCCAAAGAATAGATCAATTATATTCTCAAGATATCATTCAAGCGTACGCGGGTAAGAGAAGAGAAGAGTCTGATCCCCATTTGTTTGCTATTGCTGAAGATGCCTATAGATGTATGAAGAGCGATGGTAAAAATCAGACCATTGTGGTAAGTGGAGAATCTGGTGCCGGTAAGACTGTTAGTGCCAAGTACATTATGAGATATTTTGCTAGTGTAGAGGAAGAATCTGACAATGGTGACTTACAGACTAACATAGGAACAGATCATAAGCTGGATATGAGTGACGTTGAGAAGCAAATCTTGGCCACCAACCCAATTATGGAAGCCTTTGGTAACGCAAAGACTACCAGAAATGATAATTCTTCGAGATTCGGTAAGTATTTGGAAATCCTTTTCGACAAGGAAACTTCCATTATTGGTGCTAGAATTAGAACGTATTTATTAGAAAGATCAAGATTGGTTTTCCAACCCCAGACTGAAAGAAATTATCATATTTTCTATCAAATATTGGCTGGAATGGATTCCGACGAAAAGCTGCAATTGGGGCTCACCATTGCAGAAGATTATAAATATACTAATCAAGGTGGTCTGCCCCAAATTGAAGGGCTAGATGATGCCGAGGAATTTCACATCACCAAAGATGCTCTTCTGCTCATTGGAATTGGCCCTGAAAAGCAATCTCAAATATACAAAATTTTGGCAGCTTTGCTCCACATAGGTAATATTGACATTGCTGCTACAAGAAATGACGCTCATTTATCTTCAGACGAACCTAACTTAGTAAAAGCCTGTGAATTATTAGGGATAGATGCTTTGAATTTTAGCAAATGGTGTACAAAGAAGCAGATCACCACTAGAAATGAAAAAATTGTTCTGAACTTGAACCATAAGCAAGCCTTAGTTGCTAGAGATTCCTTCGCTAAATATATATACTCGGCACTTTTCGATTGGTTGGTTAACTACGTCAATGATGATTTATGCCCTAAGGAAGTGGAAGCCAATATTGCATCATTTATTGGTGTTTTGGATATTTACGGGTTTGAACATTTTGAAAAGAATTCATTTGAACAATTTTGTATTAATTATGCTAACGAAAAGCTTCAACAGGAATTTAATCAACATGTATTCAAATTGGAACAAGAGGAATATATCAGAGAAGAAATTGAATGGTCTTTCATTGATTTTGCCGACAATCAACCTTGTATTAATCTTATTGAAAACAGATTAGGGATCTTAAGTCTTTTGGATGAAGAATCCAGATTACCAGCTGGTAACGATGAAAGTTGGATCGAGAAGATGTACCAAACTTTGGATAAAGAACCTACCAACAAAGTATTCAAAAAGCCTAGATTTGGTCAGACCAAGTTTATTGTCAGTCATTATGCATTAGATGTTACCTACGATATTGATGGGTTCATTGAAAAGAATAGAGATACTGTTGGAGAGGGCCACTTGGATGTTATGAAGAATACCACAAACGACTTGTTAAAGAGCGTGCTATCAATTATCGAAAAGAATGCTGCCGACTTAGAAGCTAAAACTGCAGCTGCTGGAGGCAATTCTGCCAAGACCAAAAGTATTGCGAACAAGAAACCTACCTTGGGATCTATGTTTAAGAACTCTCTTATTGAATTGATGAAAACGATTGACTCAACAAATGTGCATTATATCAGATGTATCAAACCAAATGAATTAAAGAAGGCATGGGAATTCGACTCTCTTATGGTGTTAAACCAATTAAGAGCTTGTGGTGTCTTAGAAACAATTAGGATATCATGTGCTGGGTTCCCTTCCAGGTGGTCATATGTTGAGTTTGCTGACAGATACCACATATTAGTTCCATCAACTCTGTGGATAAGTGTAATGGGTGACAACAAAGCTGCAACCAGTGATTTAAGCAGCGTTAACAAATTATGTAACGAAATCTTGGGAACTACAATTGAAGACAAGTCAAAGTTCCAATTGGGTAATACCAAGATATTCTTTAAAGCTGGTATGTTAGCACATTTCGAAAAATTGAGAAGTGACAAGTTATACAAGTCTGCAGTCATGATCCAAAAGAACATGAGAAAAGTACACTTCAGGAAAAAGTACTTGGAAATCAGAGAATCTCATATTAAATTACAAACTATCATCAAGGGTTTCTTGGTTAGATTAAGAATAAAGAGAGAAAGAGAGTACAACGCTGCTGTCTCTATCCAAACTTTGATTAGAAGTTTCCTTGCCAGGAAACAATTAAGAGAAGGTTTGGAGAGTGTTATTACTTTACAAAAGCACATCAGGGGATTACAAGCAAGAAGATCATTCGTTGGATTGAGGAGCGAAAGACTGGCAATCATATTACAAAAATCATGGAGAGGATTCCAAGATCGTAAAGAGTTTAAGAAGAAGAAGAATGCTACTGTGGTTATTCAATCCACTTTCAGAAGGAAATTGGCTTACAACGAATTCAAGCAATTGAAGGAGGATGCTAAGTCTGTGGTTAAATTAAAGGAAGTTTCATATAAGTTGGAAAATAAGGTTATTGAATTAACTCAATCCTTAACTTCAAAGATCCAAGATAACAAGAAGTTGATGATTGAGATTTCTAACTTGAAGAATTTATTGGAACAATCATCCACAGCCCATGAAACATTGAAGACCAGGGAATTAGAGTTCAATGAAAAATTTGACTCTCAAAACGAAGAGCATCAACAAGAAGTTGAAACCATGAACAAAGAATTGGAATCTATTAAAAGTGAATACACTGCTGCAGAAAAGAGAATTGAAGTCTTAATCAAGGAACAAAATGAATTGAAACTTGAAGTTCAAAAGAATATTCAAGAATTGAACTCATTGAAGGATGATTTGATCAAGAGAGATACTATTGAAGTTGATTTAAAGAGTCACATTGAGCAATTGAAGAGTGAAATATCTACTTTGCAACAGAACCAAAGTAAGATGATAAATAATCCAAAGGTTAGAGGCTTATCAAAGAGTAGCAACAGACACAGCAGTGCCATGATGTACAATAACAATATTCCATTGAATAGTGAGAACAATAGACCAGTTTCGGTTATTGCCGTGTCTAATAATGATGATGCCAACATTGATGATATTAATGATGAACTTTTCAGACTTTTAAGAGATTCTAAGCACTTACATAGAGAAATTGTTGAAGGTTTATTGAAGGGATTGAAAATTCCACCTGCTGGAGTAGCTGCAGACTTAACAAGAAAGGAAGTTCTTTTCCCAGCAAGAATCATTATAATTATATTAAGTGATATGTGGAGATTAGGATTAACTAAAGAATCAGAAGATTTCCTTGGTGAGGTCTTAGCTGCAATCCAGCAAATGGTTGCCACTTTAAAGGACGATGATGTTATTCCAAATGGTGCTTTCTGGCTATCTAATACCCACGAATTATTCTCATTTGTTTCATATGCTCAACAAACTATCATTGCTAATGATACTTTATCTCATGAAATGAGCGAAGAAGAATTTGAGGAATACTTAAAGTTAGTTGCTGTTGTTAAGGAAGATTTTGAAAGTTTATCTTACAACATTTACAACATGTGGATGAAGAAGATGGAAAAGGATTTGGAAAGAAAGGCTGTCAGTGCCGTTGTATTATCCCAGTCCTTGCCAGGATTTATGGCTCCTGAAGCCTCCCCATTCTTGGCTAAGGTATTCCTGCAAGGTGTTCAATACAAGATGGATGATATTTTAAGTTTCTTCAACTCCGTATATTGGTCAATGAAATCTTATTTCATTGAACATGAAGTTATGAATGAAGTTATTATTGAATTATTAAGATTTGTTGATGCTTTGTGTTTCAATGATTTAATTATGAGAAGAAACTTCCTTTCATGGAAGAGAGGATTGCAATTAAATTACAATGTTACCAGATTGGAAGAATGGTGCAAGGGACATGAAATACAAGAAGGCTCAGGATACTTGAGTCATCTTTTACAAGCTGCCAAATTATTGCAATTAAGGAAAGGAACACCTGAGGATATTGGAATCATCTATGAAATTTGTTATGCATTGAAACCAATTCAAATCCAGAAATTGATTAGTCAATATTATATTGCCGATTATGAAACTCCAATTGCGCCAGATGTTTTACAGGCTGTTGCTGATAGAGTGAAGGAACTGGACAGTGGTAACAACGATGATTTATTCGAGATGGTATCTACTGATGGTCACTTCGACGATCCATTCAGAACAGTAAACTTGAGACCATTCCTGAGAGTAGAGGCTTATGTGCCAGCTTGGTTATCATTACCAATTATAAGAAGAATCGTCGAATTAGTTGCTAAAAACGCTGCAGTTCAAGAATCCAGAGGAACTGAAGATGAAGATATTCAAGATGAACATCAAATTCAGCAACAAGGTGTCTTAGCTTAGAGAGAGCATTTTAATGTGTATTATATAGTTTAAATGAAGAGAGATAAAATAAATTAAAATAAAGTAAAAATTTATAATTTAGTAATTCAAGGAAGAGGAATAACCAGCTTATCTTATAGAATAACTTTCATTAAATATTTATTTATATACATCTCTAAAATCTTCAATTTCTCTATTGGTTCTGCCTTTTTTCGTATTCTTCTGGAGTTCTGGTCTTCATCAGTAATGCATGAACACCGTCATTCTTAAGCTCATCTGATAACACTCCATAGACAAGTCTGTGGCGCGTGGGCATGTTCTTTCCTACGAAAAAATCGCTGACTATTTCTAAATTAAAATGTGACTCAGTGGTATTAGTTGCTCCTCTAATTCCAGCATGGTGTGCGTGCTTGTGTGAATCATTTTCCATGGAAAGAAACTTCGGTTGGAACTCAGTAGTCAACTTTTCAACCATTTTCCTTTCAATTGGCCCCGCACTAGGCGAAAGTTTTATTCCTGTGCTCATGCTGCGTAGTATTCTGAGCATTAATAGTAGAGATAATGACAAGAACTACTGTAGTGGAAACCCAGCGAGCTTTGAGGTTATTAATAATGGGACATCTCTCGATGGTGGAGTGCATATAGATAATTAGTTTCAACCTTACATGAAAGGTGGAGGCCACTAAAGCTAGTCGGGGGAGAGTAAGCAAAGATAGATGAAGCCATTACTTGATCCTAAGTACACAATAAAGCACAGAACAACCCATCTAGATGTGTAGTCTCGAAAATCTAAGGTTCAGCGAAATCCAGGGCATTCTAGTGTTAACAAGGTGCAGCCCATTTTTATGCGAATTCAAGCTTCCGTTGAAGTTCCAAAGCAGAGCCGAAGAAAAGATTCATTTTCAAACCGATCGACCTGGGGGACCGCAAGTTACACATTTAAAGCTATCAGACGTTTTATTTTCAAATTGTTTCGCCCTTACTCCCTTATCTCCAGTGCATAGCTATGCTAGAACCTCTATGTAACGACAACAGACATCACATCGATTTTTCACATAGCCAACATCAGTACACCCACCAAATCTTATTTTAGACTTCTGCAACACCAAGGCTCGCTTAATTTTAAATACTTAGTCTCAAGCCCGAACATACAAGGAAACGGAAAGAGAACTAACACAGACACATCTGCGATATTCAATTCCAGCATACCCACCTCCGAATGTCTTTAGAATCATATTACCTCTTTTTATAATGCAAAACTCTCCCTTCGTTTTCCTTACGGGGGCACCATTCCAATTTTTCATCCCATTTATCTCCGCAAAATAATGACTGGATCCTGCATGCCATCACCTAAAAATATTTGCAGGCAAAATAAAAAAAAAAGATAAAAATCCTTTGCAAACCAAAATTATCAAATACCAAGGAAAAACAAAAATAAAATTAAACCAAAAAAAGAAAACGTAGTGAATTCTTGTAAACAATAGGGAGCAAAAATACATTGAACTCAAGTTATTTTGAATTTAATATACTTCAATTTGTGCCGACTATAATAGTAAATAATAGCTGATATTTAAATAACCATCAAAACATAAATTTATAATTCAAGATGTCGTCGTCTGTTCCATACGATCCATATGTCCCCAATCAAAATACATCCGAGCAATCCAACTCGAGGACTGCTGCAATCCAAGCTGTAAGTATAAGAGAAGAAAGAAAGGAGGACTGAAAAGATTTTATTTTGTATGACTGCTGCACTGTTAGGCGATTGTGATTGTAGAAGTGACGCTTTAATAAACATGAAACCGTTGTCAAACAGTGTTACACAGGTACACATGTACACATTTACAAAAGTGTTTACATGTGCTGTAAAGCAAAAAAAAAAAATTGGCTATTTTTCAGAATACTAACAATTTTATCTAGCAAATTGATGACACAGTTGGAATCATGAGAGATAACATCAACAAGGTTGCGGAACGTGGTGAGCGTTTAGATTCCATTGAGAATAAAACCGATAACTTGGCTATTTCTGCACAAGGGTTCCGTCGTGGTGCCAATAGAGTTCGTAAGGATATGTGGTGGAAAGACATGAAGATGAGAATGTGTCTTATTTTAGGTGTTATCATTGTGTTGGTTGTTATCATTGTTCCTATCGTTGTTCATTTTACATAGGTGGTTTGAAATTTTAATTAGCGGGAAAAGAGAGAATAAAAAGAATAAATAAGATATTTTAATCATGTAATGATCCTGTAGAGCAGAGTGTAAATTGAACACGAGAACCCAATGCAAGTCATGGGGGAACCACGCGAAGTGTGCGTAGAAATCCACTTCTTCAAATGCAAATAGGTTAGTGCAACTTTTAAGTACTACTCATGCAGTTAAGAAGGAAGCAAGGGGGCTTTGATGCTACGCTTATTTCTCTTTATCGTTGAAATATATCGTTTGCTATGTATACTTATACAAATGGGCTATTGAGCTAAGTTAAAGGCTATTGAGCTATTTAGAAGCTATTGAGCTATCTGAAAAGAACAGACAAAAAAAAAACTACTAAAAAGGAACGTGTTTATGGATGGGTACTGGAGAAAGCGGAGAACGAGTTTAGTGGTCTTCCAAGGAAGCATCGTACTCAGCAACATCTAATAATTCTTCGCTAGATTCAACAACCAGAGGGTCACTTAACTTAATTTGTGCAATCCAAGCTTCACCCAATGGGTCTTCGTTGATTAAACCTGGGCTAGACTCTAAGTTTTGGTTGATTGCTAAAATTTCACCTGCAACTGGTGAATATATTTCAGAAGCAGACTTGACAGATTCGACGGATCCGATAGACTCACCAGCTTCTACAGTAACACCGACTTCTGGTAATTCGATGAAAGTAGCATCTCCTAAAGCATCAGAAGCGTATTTGGTGATACCAACAAAGGCAGTGTCATCTTTGAAGACAGCTAACCATTCATGCTCAGCAGTGTACTTGACAGTTTTTGGACCTTCTTCTAAGTATTTGTACACGAACGAATTGGTGTTAATTTTGTGGTCAGCAGAATTGAATCTGGCAGCGATTATTCTGGAAGATGGGTATCTGGAAGCAGAAAATCTTGAAGCTAACTTTGGAGCTCTTAACAAACTTGAAATCATAATGTATATAAGTGAATGTGTAATTTCAACTGGAAAGGAAGAGTTTAACAATTAACTAATCCTCTTTAGATTTTTTCGTACGGGATCTATATCGCGCTTTATAGGTGAGTGAGAAATTGACTCCTCATTGTCAGAGTCAAGTTTGCTGTGAAGATGAGATGAAAAATTCAGAAAATAAAAACACCAAAATCAGAAAGAATCTGGTATGATATGGTAAATACCAATAACAAGTGGCTTACCTTTACGGCGAGCGAGAATTTCTATTCAAGGAATATTTAATGAATCGACATCCAATGGCATCGAACGGCTCTGGGTGGGCCCTTCTTGTGGGATAAGAAAAAAATGAATATATGCAGGAACAAACTAAGTGGCCCCATGCGGTTATCTATACGATTTGGTACTAGCAAACCATATGTAAAAGTAAAGCAATTCTAGTGCTATGAATAATGTTTTGTGGTTATCGATCCTTCACTATAAGCTGTAAACAATATGTAGCTAAATTTTCAAAGTTTTAGAAGGGTAAAATGTAAGTTCTGGATACACCTGCAGGGCCAACTATGTGTATATGTACTTCTGCCAGCGCTCTTGTTGGAGATTTCTATCCTTACACATCAATTAGTTGTCCACTTGTTATCTAATATGATAATTCTTTCTATCCGAACCAGTAAAGAGTGATAATGTGCATCTTAATCACCCCTGTGGATCCAAGTGGCCAGTTATCCGTTTACTTCTTCAATGCAGCATCCCAGTATCCCACATGCAGTCTACCATTATGTGAAAACTCTAATAGCGCAAAAGATTAGCCTGCCTTTCACATTAATTAGAAGCCAAATTGTTTTCTGATCTGCTTGTTCTTACTATCCAAATTTATGGAAAGCAATAATGTACATGATAAACACCCCTGTGGACCCCTGCTGACCCCCTGTGGATCCATATGGCCTGTTTATCCACTATCCCTTTGGTGCAGCATCCGGGTATCCCACATGCAGTCTACTAATGTGTGAAGATTGCTCCAAAAACTCATGACAACTCCGATTGTCCACGTGACCGATCATTAGAATTTCCCCAGGATTTCGCAACCAGTGATGCACCAGACCACGACAATAATTTTTCACTCAATATTAACGCTTGTTTAAGAGGGTTTCACTCAAAAACAAAATATGCTATCCTACTGAATTAAATTGATCAGTCGAATCTAGCGAGCTCAATATACACGGCCATATCATTTTTGAGACTCTTTTGCTAACAATTGTCCCTGCTATACGCTCATGTAAATAGTTGCTTCTAGGGGGATCTAGAATTTTCCGCATTTTTCCATTACCTTCTATAACCCCACGAACATACAGGAAAGTTCTGGAACCCCCCCTAACCTTTCAGTTCAAACCCTATTTAAGCAACTCAACTATCCCTTAAAAATTCGAATCTAGTTTTCTTTCTTATCATCATCATTACATTATTTGATAGAACATTACTAGAAATAATAACAACTAAGTGATAAATATGTCTAAAGCTATTGGAATTGATTTAGGTACAACCTACTCATGTGTTGCACATTACACAAACGACAGAGTTGAAATCATTGCAAATGATCAAGGTAACAGAACCACCCCATCTTATGTGGCATTTACTGACACAGAAAGATTAATTGGTGATGCTGCTAAGAATCAAGCTGCTATGAATCCAGCTAATACTGTCTTCGATGCCAAGAGATTAATTGGTAGAAAGTTTGCCGATCCTGAAGTACAGGAAGATGCAAAGCATTTCCCATTTAAGATCATTGACAAAGGTGGTAAGCCAAATATACAAGTTGAATTTAAAGGTGAAACCAAGGTCTTCACTCCTGAAGAAATTTCCTCTTTCATTTTGACTAAGATGAAGGAAATCGCTGAGAGTTACTTAGGTACTAAGATTAACGACGCAGTTGTTACTGTACCTGCATACTTTAACGATTCTCAAAGACAAGCAACCAAAGACGCAGGTTTGATTGCAGGTTTGAACGTTTTGAGAATTATCAACGAACCCACAGCCGCAGCCATTGCATACGGTTTAGATAAGAAGGGAACCGCTTCTGGCGCAGGTGAAAAGAATGTCTTGATTTTTGATTTAGGTGGTGGTACTTTTGATGTATCATTGTTAGCTATTGATGAAGGTATTTTTGAAGTCAAGGCAACTGCCGGTGATACTCACTTGGGTGGTGAAGATTTTGATAATAGATTAGTTAACCATTTTGTTCAAGAATTCAAGAGAAAGAACAAGAAGGATATTTCAACAAATCAAAGATCATTGAGAAGATTAAGAACCGCATGTGAACGTGCAAAGAGAACCTTATCTTCATCTGCGCAAACTTCAATTGAAATTGATTCTTTATACGAAGGTGTTGATTTCTATACTTCAATCACTAGAGCTAGATTTGAAGAGTTATGTGCAGATTTGTTCAGAGGAACTTTAGATCCAGTTGAAAAGGTTTTGAAGGATGCTAAACTTGATAAGTCTCAAGTTGATGAAATTGTTCTTGTTGGTGGTTCTACCAGAATTCCAAAGATTCAAAAATTAGTTTCTGACTTCTTCAATGGTAAGGAACCAAACAAGTCCATCAATCCAGATGAAGCCGTTGCTTATGGTGCTGCTGTACAAGCTGCAATCTTAACAGGTGACACTTCTTCGAAGACTCAAGATTTGTTATTATTGGATGTTGCTCCATTATCTTTAGGTATTGAAACAGCTGGTGGAGTTATGACCAAATTGATTCCTAGAAATGCAACTATTCCAACTAAGAAATCTGAAACCTTCTCAACCTATGCTGATAACCAACCAGGTGTCTTGATTCAAGTTTTCGAAGGTGAAAGAGCTAGAACCAAGGACAACAACTTATTAGGTAAGTTTGAGTTAAGTGGAATTCCTCCTGCTCCAAGAGGTGTTCCACAAGTTGAAGTTACGTTTGATATTGATGCTAATGGTATTTTGAATGTATCCGCCTTAGAGAAGGGTACTGGTAAGACGCAAAAGATTACTATCACCAACGACAAGGGTAGATTATCTAAGGAAGATATCGAAAGAATGGTCAGCGAAGCTGAAAAGTATAAAGATGAAGATGAAAAGGAAGCTGCAAGAATCTCTGCAAAGAACACTTTGGAATCTTACACTTATTCATTAAAGAACACTATCTCTGATGGAGAGATGAAGGATAAGATAAGTGAAGATGACAAGGAAAAGTTAACCAAGGCCATCGAAGAAACCATTGCTTGGTTAGACGATTCCAATGCTGCATCCACCGAAGAATATAACGATAAACACAAGGAATTGGAAGGAATTGCCAATCCAATTATTTCTGGTGCTTATCAAGGTGGTGCAGGAGGTGCTCCTGGTGGAGCTCCTGGTGGATTCCCAGGTGGCGCCCCAGGTGGTTCTGCCCCAGGTGGTGACTCAGGACCAACAGTTGAAGAAGTTGATTAGATAATTTGTCTAAATGGATTTTGCTGGTTTCTTTTTATGTTCAGGTTAATGGTAGGTTAAAATATAGTTTAAAACGATAATTAAAATAAATGAATGAAGATTTATTAAATCTATATTATGTAAGTTTATCTATGTATGAAGTAGTTCTCTCCCTGATTATTTAAACTCTATGAAGATGCACAATGATGTTACTACTGCCCAGATAAATATGGTGCAACGTCCAATATCTCTATCAACCAACCAGTTGTTTCTAGGCACCATGACAAGTAAAAAAATCAGATTAAGTAACAATCCAACGAAGATAGTTAGTAATGTGGAGGAATTTCCTAAGTTAAAACCTGAAGCAAATGAGTTTTTGGCTTGACTACTTATATTTGTAGATAATAGTGCACCACTAAAGCCCATGGAACTAAAAGTCAACACTGGTCCGCCAAAGCAAGCACCAAAGGCCATCAAAGGCATCCCCATCTTAGCTATTGTAAAGTTAGATATAAAATCTCCAATGGAATTTCCTAAGGCGAAAACGGTCATACCTAATATCTCATCACTGACATCATAAACCAAGGAAATCATTTTGAGAATACCGATTACTTCTGTAGCAAATATTGATATCCATGATAGAGCCGATACGAATCCGAAAAATGATGATATGTGAAATATTATTCGACGGCGTGAAGGGTTTTGATTGTACATCATGTAAGTTGCATACAGAATGATACAGGAAACAAATATTGACATTGGAAGTATTGTCGTCCAATAATATGGATCTCCGTTGCACCAAACATATGTTATAAATATATTTGACAAGAAATTTTGAACTTGAAGTAGAACCTTATCAATTTCAAAAGAAGAACCATCCACATCAAATTGTGAGGCATCATTTTCTTCTATATTTCCAATCCCCAATTGTATGTCCAAGTTTTTCCTTTCATTTTCCGTTATGGCATCGATGCAAGCTTGATCTCTTACTGGTATTGATACTCTAAGAAGAAATAAGACAGGGGACATGATGACAGTTCTTATTTTAGATTGCATATCTAATTCTTTGAATTCTAGGAATGATGGGAACAATAACTTAAGAAAAAACGATGCCTGGTAGTCTGAAGAAACAGGAAATGTGTTGTTGTATCGAGGAATAGAGGTCTCGTCAAGTTCTTCTATATCATGGATGTCGTCTTCTAAGGGTGGTGTTGATTCCACTGCTGCTGGAGCAGATACCAGACGAATATGATCATCCCCAGGTAATTGTATTCGATGGTTCGAATGCTTTTGTAAGTTCTTCAACAAAGTATTTAGTCCAAACGATCCAGGCAATGATAGGGCCGAATCAATACGACTAACTTGATCAATGGGTATTGAAGACATATGAAGTGCCTCAATTGATGGTAGTTGATTGATATCATCCAAGAATATGTCTTCTTCTTCATCGCCTATCTCATTGTCCACATTTCTTCCACCTAGCTCTACAAAGTTACCTCTAGATCTTTCTTCCCTCAAACGCTGCCTTGTCTTCATCTTGGTAATTGAATGAGAACATACAACTACAACAACGTACACCACATACATAGCAACAAGAATAATACAATGAAAAAATGTGAGAACACCTTTAAGAATAGCAGTTAGCACTACCGCAAGGAAACATATAAAGAAGCCTAAATCTCTTAAAAATGCAACCTTTGGAACCTTGAATGGGTGTACAATTCCCATCGTACCGATTACTACAGTCGTGATGAAAAATGCAGCACCTGTCAACTCTGATATTGCCAAATCACTTGAATCCAAACTCATTCCTTGAAAAGTACTCAAGATATCTGGGGCTCCATTCCCCAATGCCAATAAAGTTAGCCCAGCTAAATTGTCAGATAATTGTAATACCTTTGAAATTGAATGAAGATTAGGGCAAAGATATTCCGAGGCAGTGAGCCCCAAACTTACGAAGAGGATGGCAAGATTACACACCAATGGCAAGAATGCAAAACTATGCAAAAACAGAAATGTGCAATAGTACAATTCTAGATAGTTTGCATACCCGAGTTTATAATCTTTACATTCGTTCCGTATAAACGAGCATTGGTTTTCTTTTGGTATTTCATACAAAGCGGTACACTTTTGTGACTTTAGTGGTGAGTCTGGATCACTCCAAACAGGAGATGTGCTATTGTTGTCTTCTAGTGCAAACGCAAAATTGATCAACAATAGTACAATTATTGATCTTCTATTCATTATTATTCATATATATACCCTTAAGTAGCTAATTACCGATAGCTTAAAGATTGTTGCCATCAGTGGTGATGTAGGCAAACAGTAGAAGGCATATAGAGCTTGAAAAATCCTGCATATAGAAATAAAAATGGATCTTAGCAAGATTTCAATGTGCAGGAAAACATTACACTAGTAACTGGAACTATAGTTTGAAGCATTATGCAGGATAATCAAACATTTAATTCCAATACGAGTAGCCAAGATCAAGGCTCAACTAATCACCACAACTAATCAACTGGATTACTAATTCTCTACATCTGGATGTACTCCATCGAACCGATACATCCTCTACAGGAGGTTACTCCAATTGCTGCTCAAATCACATACGAATCCGTAGATTTCAAATTTAACTTTCACGCATTTCGTATATGTACTGAAAAGTGGTAAAGACTATTTCCACGCATCATCAACAGATGAAATGGAAGAAAATACCACAATTAGCAAGATTATGGAATATTCCATTACCTTTCGGATGAAATTACTTAATTAAGAGTTCTCTAAGATGCTTCCACAATAATTTGCACTGCCAAAAACAAATTCCTGTGCATGAAAAGTTAACTTATGCTTTTTTCAAGGGGCATTATCTTATTTTTTACAGCTGTTATCAGGGCCAAACTTAAAATTTAGCATCTAGGTATATAGTAAAACCTACAGATATTCAATTTTCAACCTGGGAACGGATGGAGAAACCAAAAAATCGAAACGGGATAGCCTGACCGTTGAAAACAACTCTTAAATGAAGATGTCCCATTAGTGCATCAGAAGTGGCTTAGTGCTCGCATAAAAACTGACTCTAACATAGTTTAAATTTCAATCTACCGCTTAGGTGATTCAAATGTTTCGATGCAACCCCTGCACTATCTACCCCGTACGGCAATATTTCAGGGATTTGAAACAATTCAAACTGTCATCTTTTTTATTTCTTTTTATTACTCTTTTATTTTTCAGTCCATCAATTTACACTTCTTTAGCGCCGTACAGCCCCATCAGGTTTAGATTCTGCATGATTTTTTACGTGCGTATTTCTAACGCGATTATATAAGCGTATGCGAAGCTTATGTAAGCGGGAACATACAGAAGTAAAAAAGTTAATTAGCTAAGGTCAATTAAGCTCTCACAGCTACAAGAAATAGCGGCTATGGCGGACATATTGTTGAATGTTTCAGCATATATAAGAGCCAGCTATCTCGACAGACTCAATTGATCTTGAATTTATTTAAGTATCGTAAGAGAATAAATAATAGAGAAGTAGATACAACAAGAAAATGGGTTTATTAAGAGACACCTTATCCAGCATGCAGGAAACCAACCGTACAAGGTCCCACTCCATGAGTGGGCCTCCTCCTTATAGTAGTAGTAGTAGTCCATATGTGGGACATTCAGCTCCCATTGAGCCAATTCACGAACAGGAAGAGACAAATGACATGGTTTTTGACTCATCGTCATTGTCATCTTCTTCCTCATCAGTTTACTCTTCACCTAGTTCTTTAGGGTATGTCGACAATTATGTAGAAGGTGACGTACAGATATTTGGCCCCGAAGTTGAAAGAGCTAAAAGACATAATTCTGTTCGTTTACCAATTACCAAACATAATGAGTATTATGGCAGATTGAGCGACCCAGTCGTGCAATTTCCACCCCAATTCCAAAAACAAGTTAACACTAGACATCTCTACACTCCATTTAGACCAATATTAGTGGTTGCAAATTCTCCAAATTTAGTTGAGGGTTTCCAGATGGTATACTTCCCTGAGCAATTAGGTTCCCATGACATCTCTCTGAGTGATTGGCAAAGATTTCTTGAAGATCTTAGAAGGGCTGCCATGCCAACTTCATCATATGCATATGGAAATAGATACAACAGACAATATAACTCAGGATACGGGCAGTCTAATGGTGAGTACAGAGGAGTTCTCTATGGAGAAAATGATAGGCAACGCATGTTGGGTGGAAGTTCTAACAATGGAAGACTTTCCAGCGTATTAGATAACCGCTTAAATGGTAGAAGAAGAGGAGGAAGATATGAAAAGGATGATGGCTTAGTCAGGCTGGTGCTAAAATTAGGAGCGGCATACATTGATGGTAAATCAAGTAGCAATTCCACGTACAATAACAACAATCTCAATACTGACGATGCTTACTTTTACGCAGAAAACAGTATTCCTAGGACAATAAATTCTGATGATTACGATAACTTACTGAGCTTCATTGATAGATGGAATATGATGTTTTTCAACAATAGAAGTGTTCATGTTCAAATAAGGTTCCCACACGAAGTGAAAAAGGAATATGATCATTTCCTTAGGACTTATAGTAGAGAAGACGGAAGAAAGGTTAGAAGACAAGCCGAACATGACGGTCCTGACTCCTTAAAGAAATGTAGATTGATTATCACTAGTTTATAACGGGTTACAAAGAGACATAGTTCAATATATGAATCATATAGAACATACTTGAATTTTCTAAAAAGCGACGAAATTAAACCTTTCAATTGTTCACTGATAAGTAGAACAAATAGTAAACGGAAAATAAAAATTAAAGAGATAGAAGAGAAGAACGAAAACAGACTATTGTTCGGCTCCTCTGACTTTTGTTTTTCAATCTCTACAGTATCTTATCTCTACAAGCTAATAAAATGTCTTGCTGATCCTTGCACCTCTCCTCATTCGGGCACACGAAGGTAATCCCTTAGAATATAAAAATACTCAGATGGAGTGCTGCACCCAAGATCAACTATTTAGTCTCCAGTCCATTCAAAGTAATAATACACAACTATATTCCGATGGTCATGGGTCAAGAACGCCGAAAGGGTTCAACCTCAAGGGAATGCATTAGCGTTGCGAATGTCTGTGATTTTGCGTTTGTTGAAGAAGAAGAACCTAAACTATCTGAAAAATTTTATATGCGAAGAGCTCTTTTATATGTCTGGCACACGTCCGGGTAATATAGGGCATGTTGCATCTAAATTGTATATACTAAAAAATTACATGCAGGTACAAAAGGATGCAAAATAGTTGCATTTCTACTTCTAGGTCTAATATGTATTCTAATTAAATTAAGATGAAGTTACTCTTCTGAAGATATACATCAGCTTTTCCGTTAACCGTCTCTTTCTCTTTTCTATCATAGAAACGATCGTCTTCGTAAAGGTGACTGTTTTCCATATATTCAATCACCTTTTTGAACACCGTCTCATATACAGTGTCTCCCCATAGAGTATCCATATGCTCGTACGTAGGACACCCGATAGTTTCCAATAGCTTCGACGCCATGATGCTATTTTGCGATAATATTAAATCTTTCGTACTCTCAATATCAACCAATATATCACTGTCCCCGTAAACTAGCACCATAGGAACATCAAGGTGATGTGATATCGGGAATGGTGCAACTCTACTAGTGGTTAATTTCAGATCGTGTGACAATGTTGAAAGCCCAGAGAGTCCGATATTGCAAGTTTCGTCAAACATTTGAAACCTTCTAGAGGAAATTATCTGAAACCAATGGATAATGGACTTAACGGACGAATTCAGGAACATATGACTATAGCCCACCTTTTTCTGTTTTGGCGATATGTTCTTCGAGCTCCAACCGAAAAGAAATTGTAGTGACTGGTCTACGACTAATTGGTATAACTCGGGACCCATGAGCCAACACCAAAAGGAGACGGATGGTAGAATGGCTCTTTCACCGAATAAGCTATACAAGAAGCTATTGTCATTTGCAGTTTGGTTTACGATAACCTTAAGCAATGTGTGGTTTAAATCTCTTGGGATAATAGCAGGAGACAACCCAACGAAAAGGCTTATACTATCGTTCAAAGTCGGGTTCAAACTTAAGCTGGCAAACAATTGTGAGCATCCTTGACTAAACCCAACATATATTATTTTACAACTTTTGTCATAAGAGTAAAATGATTTGATATAGTTAAGAGTATCGGGTATGTCATAAAGCGCAAATTCATCAAGCGAATAATTCCAGTACCTTTTATCAGACACTGACAATTTCAAGTGCTTTCTTGAGTATTTATTACCACGGTTATTCCCCAACCATACTTCATATCCTAAATCTACAAGCAAGTACGGTAAGTTTTTATTCTTTTCTGAGCCGAGTAAAAATAGTTCTGAATTGGTCAATAATCCGTGATGGAAGTACGCAACTTTCAGCTCTAGCTTGGTGTTGGTAGGTCTTCTTGAGTTGGTTCTTGAAGATGAACTATCTCGTTTTTCAAGTTTATGAATGACCAAAAGGTAGTTATCTCTTGTTGTCACTACGTGTTCTCTGATAATATACCCATTTGCTGCTGCTATTTCGCTAATATCCTTTGCACTCGCTAAATTGTCTACGGTAACATGCCGAGGTATCCTGGGGAAGGCATCTGGGTCTATCTTAAACAACCACTTCCGCGAAGTTTCATATAGGGAAATTATTATGACCCTTATCACGAACGATAGGAGGCTGAAAACGGTATAAAGCAGTGAGAACATTAATAACGAGAGATATGTTGCACTGGGATGAAAATCGATTTACTGATAAGAAAAAAAATTAACTGTTGATAATTTTTTTTGCTTGCGTACAAACCTTAAAGCCCTTCTCACAAAATTAAAAACACATAGATATCGATTAGCTAAGAAGAAGGGAAGAAAATTCTAGGATAAAAAAGAGGGAAGAAGTCTCCAATGCCTTTAAACACATATCCCCAAGTATGTTAGAGCAGTAATTAAGCTAGCTACATTTCTACTTCCCTATTTATTCCCTTTCCAGTTGCTGTTTCTTGTCTATTAACTATATACAAATACATGAAAAACTGAACCAGCTGAAAAATTTACGATTTCCTTACAATTTACTTCGAGTTTAAGTTTAGAATAACCACCATTTCTTTTTACTCTTCTGAGGTTGGTCTTCAGTTCCCAACATTTCCATTGCGTACTTTCTATGTTCATTCAATTCTCTCAACATCACCTCTTCTTGGTCCTGTCTGATCCTTTCCGCTTCCAAAAAGTGCCTATCGGATGGCTTATTCATCGCGAGGTCACTCTCCACATTTCGCCTCATATCGTCTGGGATGTACTCTGCATCTCTGACCTTTTTGATGATTACTTTATTTTGCTGCGGATGATACAAGTCGTCGTATTCCTGTTGAGAAAGGCCACCAAATATCCTCTCTTTCAATTGAAGTCTTGCCCTGTAGAAATCACTAAATACATTTTCCTTACCATCGTTCCAACGGTAGAAAAAACTAAAGTATACGATGATGGATCCTCCAAGCAATGAGGCAAACCATCGAGACCCGACTTGAACTTTCTGGCTTGTATTAACCTTACGAAGCACTTTATACTGCCCTGGGTACAACTGCGAAGCTGGTCGAGGGGTATAGTTAAGTCTTTTCATTGTTTCATTCACCTTCTTGTACTGCGTAGGATTTCTAGGTAATGAAGAAAATCCCGATGGCAGGTTACCTGGAATCTTAAACTCAGATGGATACCCGGCCGCTGGACGAGCATCGTCGGGATCATACGGATTATATGGTGCCTTTGGAGGTGTCCAACCGGGAGGATTAGGTCTACGACTCATTATTCTACTGCAATTACTTTGTACCTACAAAGAAGAAGTCACTTAACAAACTTCTTCGTTTCTTGACTTTTAATTTTCTTTGATATTGAGAAAATCATGGTGGGGCCCAAAACGCATACGTGCAAAGATAAAAATAGAAAGTGCTTACTACTTCTCTAACGATTGACCGTAATTGGATAGTTCTTTTGGATTTAATCTGTAGAACAATTGCATCACCATGGATGTGCTGACCATTACTTCCGTTGTGAGGAATTTCTTTTCGCTAGAAACGTTAGACACTCGTCTACATGCACCTTCTTCAATCGAACGCAAGAACGCAATTATCGCTAAGGCCAACATTCAGTCTAAATGGAATACACTAGAATATAAAATATACGGGATAATATTCGTTATAGCGGTACCATTAATGGCCAAAACAGCAATTGAAGCTTCGAATGAAAATAACCCCAACTACCCTAAATTTAAGCACTTACTTAGCCAAGGTTGGCTCTTTGGTAGAGAAGTCGATAACTCGGATACCCAGTACAAATTTTTCAGAGATAACTTACCTATGCTAGGAGGAATGATATTGATTCATTTTGCGTGTAGACAGGCGGCTACATCAGTTTACCCAGCATTGAAAAGAACAAAATTTGACTTTATCTATGGAATGTTGTTTTTATTGACTGCTCATGGCACCAACAGTATTAAGATCTTGATCCACTTGGGTATCAATTATTTAATTGGCAAAATTGTTGTAGAGAAAAGCAATAAGAAAACTGCAATTTTATTGACCTGGGTTTATGGGATACTGACTCTATTTTTCAATGACTATTTTAGAGATCACTCTGTAGGTATTTCTTTCATTGACAAAGGCTGGAAAGGTATCATATCGAGGTGGGACGTTTTCTTCAACTTTACTTTGTTGAGAATGCTATCATTTAATCTTGATTATTTGGAAAGAAGAGAAAAGCTGAACGAAACCCTGAATGAAAGAGGCGATAAAAGTTCCGAATATGATTTGCTAACTTCAAATCTTGATGACAGAAGCAGGCTCACAGCTCCGCTCCCAATAACAGACTATTCAGGCACGAACTATCTCGCCTATGTTCTTTATACTCCGCTTTTCATTGCTGGCCCAATTATCACGTTCAACGACTTTATTTACCAGTCTAACTATAAATCGTGCCCTTCAGTGAAAAACTGGAAGCGTACCTTTATATACTTTTTGAGACTAGTCTTCTGTATTCTCGTCATGGAGTTTATCTTACATTTCATGTACGTAGTTGCAGTATCTAAAACCAACGCCTGGGAGGGAAACTCACCATTTCAAATCTCGATGGTTGGTATGTTCAATTTAAATATCATCTGGTTAAAATTATTGATACCCTGGAGGATTCTCAGATTCTGGGCACTTTTGGATGGAATTGATCCACCGGAGAATATGATCAGATGCATGGACAACAATTACAGTGCCTTGGCATTCTGGAGAGCATGGCACAGGTCATTCAACAAGTGGGTTACGAGGTACATTTACATTCCATTAGGAGGTGGTGGATATTACAGGTTTATCAATATGTTATGTGTATTCCTGTTTGTTGCTATTTGGCACGACATTGAGTTGAAGTTGTTGATCTGGGGCTGGTTAATTGTAATATTCTTACTTCCAGAGATACTTGCTACTTTTTTCTTTAAAAGGTATGAGTCAACCTGGTGGTACAACTATGTATGTGCAGCTGGAGCTGTAGTAAACATCTGGATGATGATGATCGCCAATTTATTTGGATTTTGTTTGGGCCAAGATGGGACATTAAAGTTATTGAAGGAAATGTTTTCTACAGTTGGAGGAATCGAATTCTTTTTGACTGCGCTGGGTGCACTCTTTGTAGGCGTTCAAATTATGTATGAACTCAGACAAGATGAGATGAGAAGAGGTATTTCAGTAAGATGCTGAGCAGAGTGAGCTACAAGGAAAGATGAGGAAATACTTATAGTTTCGATACTCAGAGATATGGGAAGAGGTATTTCAGTAAGATGCTAACCAGAGTAAGTTACATAGGAAAGATGAGGAAACACTTATAGTTTCAATTTGGCCAATGTGATATGAATATACGAACAAATGATTCAAATGAGCTAACACCGATTCTATTTTATATAGACCAACTTCTCGCCGTACTCAAGAGAATAACTAGAAGCAAATCCAAGTGTAAATTAAACGAAAAAAGAACAACAACTCAGGGCACCTCTTTCTCTGCCTGATAAGTTGCTGCAATTCTGCAGCACTCAATTGCTTCTCACTATAACCTAAACTATGCAAGAAGAGCAACCAGAGAACCTGAATGGCCCACTTTTTTTATAAAAGCAAGAATTCAGCGCACGAGCAAAACGGAATACAAGCTGAACCTCTCCCTACTCCATCCATTGACCCTGGCAACTTGTATCTTACAATACCCTGCGTGAGTAGCACTTCTTCAACCCACTCATGGAGCACTTCCTACACCGGGCTGTATGCAGTACCTTCGAATTTCTAAGTCTCACATTTTTCCAGTGGTACCCAAGGGCTACACTAGCTTCACTAACAGCCAGCGATAGCAGGTACTAGTCCATAGTTTCGCAGTGTAAGAGTAACATCGACATGGCTCCTCCAACTCTTGTTCACAACCGCAAAGAAGTGTTCCGTCAGTACGACCAAATTCTCCAAAATCCGAATCTTCACGATTGTGAGCTTAGATCGATCTCCCAGCATGAATGCACATTCAAGGTATCCGAAGACAGTCCACCAGAGATCATATGTCTTCCATTTAAAAGGATTTTCCAGAGGTGCATTGAAACGGCCATAGAGAAGGATAAAATCACAGGAAAGAAGACGAAAGTGGACAAATGGGTCAACATCGAAGTCACTTCTGCCGAAACCAACCAGGACCTCTTGACTGAGGAAAGGTACAGAGATGATGTCCGAGATTTCGTCAACGCAGAGAAGGAGCTAAAGAAATTAATGGAGAAAGGTCTTACCGATTGAAGACTCAATAAGGACTACAGCCATCTACTTGGAATGCATGCATTTACTACTAATCGCCCCCCTCTTCAAACTAGACACTGCTGATGGACATCATCAGTAGGTTGTTCCTTCTGCTGGCTGCAGCAACTTCTTGTTAGAGGGTGCTGCCATGTTCTTACGCAACTCTAACAAAACAGTTTCCATTGTGTACAGACGTCTCCAATTCTTCAATGTATCGAATTGGTCAACCACAACTTTCCCGGTGTCATCTACACAGGGTAAGTTAATCTTGGAGATAAAGCTCACCTGTGGTGGCTTTTCTGGATAAGTTTCATCACATATAATGGTCAATGAGTAAATTCTGTTCTCGTGGGTTGAATGAGGAGGTCCCAAGATGGTACCGTTCCAATAGGTCATTGTGATATCATCTTGGTTGGTGAGACCGTATGAGATTGATTCTGCACCGAGTCCCTTTTCCCCCTTTTCTAATTCTTCCAAGAGCTTAAAGTTTCTTGGGCTAAAGGAAAGTTAGTAAGGTGTTTTATAAAGTATGCCGAAAAATGGGCGGAGGGGGGAGAGGTCAGATTGGTAACTGAGAATCAAGAGACAGACCAACGCAAGGAAACAGCAGGCAGCAGTGGACGGTGAACCAACTATTCATGAAGCAATTCAGCAGCAGCAAGAAACAATCTTCCTGGCCAGTGACGAATAAGCTCCTCTAAATTCCGAAACTGCCCCACCAAATGCCCCTCTATTGGAGTAAAGGTGTGACACAATCAATAGCTTGGTTCTCAACAAGCTGTACCCTCCAGCACCTTGCTTCCTCTTCTTGTTCGTCTCCCATCCCCAGCCAAACAACGTACATAGAACAGCATCCTGTAAATAGTGAATAAACAGCCCCCAATGCCACTCTACAGTAGTTTATACACCTCTGGTGCACGTCCGCAATCACGCACTCATATCCGATCCCCAAGTTTCGGAACAGATGCTCCACATCCCCACCCTCTCCCTTCAATGTGCAGTAAATGCCCATTTTTTTTTCTGAAACTACATCCATGAGTATATCTGGAACCCAGTCCACACCTATACATACATTTTAGACATATTTGGTCCTGTAATTTGCTACTGTTCGCTGCTGTTCCTTGTGAAAAGAGAGACCGGTTTTCTTTTTGTTCTTCCTTCTCCTCCTCCGCACAATTGCGATTAATCGGTAGGAAGAATCGGGAACCGCACGACCGCCAATATGGAAAATCAAAATAACCACTGAAGCGGAGGAAGAGAGGTACGTAGGTGTACTGATCTGGGTATTGGCATTATATTGACAGGTATTGAGCTATGACCGACTCGTCTCCGTTCATAGACCACCCCAGGTACGACGATATTGACGATAGCACGAAACAGATCATATCTAAGCTCCAGTTCCAGATCTCATCGAGCAAAACTGAACAGAGGCTTCTAGTGGAAAGTAAGAAGGATCTTTCAAACCAGTACGAGCAGCTTTTAAAAGCCAAAAATGAAGAACTTGAATCGTTGAAAGTCAACTTCGAGTTCGTTTACAACCAGAGGGAGGCGCTAAAGTCCAAATTGGAGAACAGTGAGCAGACATCACTGGCCAAAATCCAGGCTCTTCAAGCTTCAGTCGATGAGAGCCACAGCACAGTGAAAACTCTAGAAAGACAAAATTATGAATTGAAGTCCGAACTCAGCTTGGTACGTAATTCTGGAGATCAAGAACTGAATACCATAAGGTATTTGAAAGAAGAAAACGAACAATTGCAAGAGAGAATCGACGAGTTAACGTCGGTAAATAGCGAGCTTATCGATGAAAGAGATCTGATCAGCCAGAGGTTGAGACAGGAAGTCGACTCAAGCGCTGGTGCTAACTCATATCAACATACACTCAAGACAAACAACTTGCAGTTGCAAAAAATGAATAACTCGCTTCAATTGAAGGTCGATCTGTTGCTACAGCATAAGACATCTGTAGAGATACTAAAGCAGAAGAACCACACATTGCAGCAGAAACTAGATCAGCTAGAATCTGTTCAAGAGAAATGCTATGAGTTGGAGATAGAAGCGCTAGATTTGAAGTCCCAGTTGGAAGAATTCAAGAAAGTCTTTAGTGAAATCGACCAATCCGTATCAATTAAGTCAATAGTCGACCAATTTAAGCAGGTGACCAATAATAACCTTGTGCTTGAAGATAAGTTTAATCAAGCTAGGATTGAATTAGATCAAGTGTTACGAGAGCTACAAAAGGTAAGCAATGAAAAGAAAAATGAATTGGTACCGAAAATCCAGTCATTGACCGAAGTATTGAAAAATAGACAAGAGTTGGTTGAAAAGCTCGAGAAGCAAAAGTTACTTAACGTCAAAGAAATCCAATATTTAAGGGAGCTGTTGAAGACTTTAGATGACTTAAGTGTACCAAAGGGCGAAGACAACTCAGAAGTCAAGAGGTTAGAGAAAGTCATTGAGATTTACAAGGGAGAAAGAGATGGTTTAATTGAGAGAGTGAGGCAAACTGAACAACTGCAGACTAGTATACCAGATCCTTCTCCAGTACTTAATTCTAGCGGTAAGCGTCCTAGAACTGCTAATACAGAGGACGACGACACTATAAACACCGCCCACTTTAAGCTTCAAAAGGAAAATATCTCATTACTCTCTACAGTAAAGACTCTTCAAGATGAAATTTCCTCGCTCAATTCCCAAATTTCCAAATTTCATCAAGTTCAAACCAAAAAGGAGCAAATTAAAGTTCTCCAACTAAGAGCAAATAATATCTCCAAAGACCAATTAGTTAAGCAACATACTATTGATCTACTTCGAAAAGAAAACAAAGATCTCATTTCAAATTCTCAATCAGACAGCATACCGAGGTCTGTATTTGAACGCCAAGAAGACGATAAAGAAATTCTCCAAACAAAAATTGATCAGCTTTCTAAAAGAATCAGTAGACTTCGTGAAGTGTATTCTAAGAAAAGTTGTGATATATTGTCGATTATCTCCAAATTCTTTGGTTATTCGGTAGAGTTTCTTCCTAGTCCCATAAATCCTGAAGATTTGACCTCATCCAGAATAAAACTTGTTTCAAAGTATATCCAAGACTCCTCTGCATATCTCGTGATAGATGTTAACTCAAAGTTATTAAAAGCAAATGGTTCTAATGATTTCAAACAGATGTGTGAAGAATTGGTCACTAATTGGGTAAATGGGAAGGATCAAATCCCTTGCTTCTTAGGAGCTTTGAATTTGAAGTTGTATGCGTCATATGAAAAACGAAAAAGTGCTGAAAACTAAGTTGGTCTACACTTTATAATAATAATTAATGCATGTTTTTTTTTTTTTTTTACAATGCTGTTCTAAGTATGTTCTACCATCTATAAATATTCTATCGTTTGAGTTCTAACATTGGTGTATTGCTCACGAGCAGATTCGACACTTCGCCTAGAAATTCAACCGGCCGATCGAAGCGGTCCCTATTGATTGATTTCAGCAACTTTGTCCAAGTTTCCCCAGCATTAATTTCATCATAAACATCACTAAACTTCTGTAAGAATTCATTCATTTCGTCTTCGGTTCCATATAGCCCGAAATATTTGAACATCCACCCCCAGCAATCACCGTTAAGTTTTCCTTCATCACTATTTAATGCTCTCTCAAACCATGCTTTAACCTTTGTGAATTTACCATCAATCCAAAAGAATAAGCCAATATTCATCAAAATTATTGAAGAGTTATTAGTTTTCTTAAGCGAATCCATAAATGCATTTTTCCGTTGGGATATTTTTGATATTAAATGGAGGTTTTCAATCCAAAGATTGGCATCACTTGGAAACTTTTGAAGTGCCTTAGTGCACAATTGCCTTGCACTATCAAAGTTGTTCAATTGCTTTTCGAACCTAATTCTCTCAACCCAGAGTAAGGGAGACGAAGGATTCTGAGTGATAGAGTTATCAAGTATTGCCCTTGCTCGGACAGGATTCGACTTAACAGCGTGAGCATAGTTGATCCATAATGGTATGAATTGAGCACACCTACGCACTCCAACTGCAAGCGTATCTACATCTTGAAGAATCTGACTCTTCTGTAGATAGAGCTTTCCACAATCTGGAAATTTATCCAACGCTTCATCGCACAAGGTTGTGAGATATTCATCAACAGGTTTACCGTTTTTCAGGTATGAACACCTCAATAAATGAATATGCTTATACCAAGCAGCCGAGGAGTTATCCGAGATTCTTTGAAACATCTTCGTAGATACTGCTAACGACTCTTCAACCCATGAGGTGCCAGACGTATATTTTGCAAATTTTATTCTCGCAAACCACACACTTTCGCTGAAAGGAAACAATGTGCCAGCTCTTTCCAAAACTTCTTTTGCTTTATCGATGTCGGTATTCAATTTCCACAAATCCTTTGCGTACATTAGATAAAATATTTCATCTTCATTGATCTTTACCATTTGTTCATAGTACTCAAATAACCTAGGATCAGGTTTCTCATTCTTAGTTTTCTTGAAAGAATCTAATAATTTCAACCATACGTCAATTTTAGTTGGATATTTGGAAATAATAATTTGGAATATATTGTTAGATGTCTCGGTGAATTTGGAAAAGCCATCTGCTAAACTCAACCAGTCATCTACTCTTGAAGATGAAGGATCAATATTAAATTCATCTTCCTCTTCTGTTTGTAAAGCAATTTTGACTATGGCTTTACACGTCAATAAAAAACCTTCACCTTCCGCGATAGTTGCTTCGTGCAACCAGTCTTCTTTCGATAATAGCTTCAGTTTATCAACAGTATGCTTTTTTAGTTCATCTACTCCCTTGGACATAAGTCTACTCAACTTAGCTTCTGAAATATCTTCATTTTCTCTTTCTTCCAACTTAGCAGCTGTGATCCAAATTTTATAATTATCATTCATAATCTTCCTGGCTCTATTAATTATGGATTTTGCTTCTGAATATTCAGAAAGATTTATTAACGACAACCAAAAATCCCACTCTTTAGGACAAAATTCCACTGCTTTACTTAGCAACTTCTTTATATCTTCCTCTTTAGACTCTTCTCCTTCTAACTCGATCAATTTCTTCCATATGCCGACACTATCGGGAACGCTCTCCAACGCCTTCATTAATATTCTTCTTTGAGACAAAAAGTCACTTGGATGTTCTAGATCAACGGCTTTAAGCCAAAGCTGTTCAGACTTTGGATTGAATTTTAATGCCTGTCCACAAATCAATTTGCAATGCTTTGTTCCGTCAGAATGGTGCAATCTGATATTTTCCAACCATAGGCTGACACTCCTGGGAATCTTTTGACAGCCGTTTTCGATAAGAGACTTGGCAGTACTGAATTTTCTATCTTGTTCTTCAAGCTTTGCTGAAGCTATCCAAGAATTTGGATTTAAGGGTTCAGTCTTACGTAATGAGCTGAATATGAGTCTACCTTTTCGTATATCATCAATTTTATTATCGGTCGTTTGATCAATTATAAAGTCATTTTCATCAATTTGATTAGTAAGTCCTTCCCCTGTGTTCCCTACGACACTATCTAGCTGTTTACTTAACAATTTATCCTTTGTTTTGGATATGGAGTTGAAGTCTGTGGATTCGCCTGCACCACCGTTACTTCCTCCTACCAACAAGGTATCTGGAACCGCATAGAATCTCTGCTGCAGCTTTTCTAGTAGCCTCAATCGTTTATTCCTCTTAGTTAAATCTCCAACTTCCGGTAAGTTCGCCCATTGGTCTTCACTTACGGATGACAATGCACGCTTTAAGTCTGCGAAGGCACTGGTAACAGAAGGTTGGGCATCGGAGTTTTCCTTGTCTTTCTTGCTCTTGTGCGATAGCCTCCTCTCAACTTCATCGTATATTTTGTCTGCTTCATCGTCATCATTATCAACACCGCCTCGAACTAGCAAACCTCTCTCATCAATTTCTTCTTCGTTTTTAGGGCCATCATCATCATCATCATCTTCGTAGTCATTGTCAGGCACTATCCTAGATGCACTCCCAACATCCGCAGAAGTTGTAAATCCAGTAGCACCTCTCCCTATTCCGGCAACATACCCAGCGGGAGCTTCTTGATCCAAAAAGGCTTTCCTATCCATGAGCTACCTTGACAAATGAGTGCTATTCCAGGTTAGCTAGCTTGTGGAAAATGGAACCTCGAGTGTAAAGGTATGGACCTTGATATCATGTACGACTACATGCAGGACTCAAAGATGGACTTTCTTTGGACCCTTTCGCTTGGAACCAAAACAGCATGGTGCCTAAATTATCTACTCCAAAAAAGAAAAATTTCAAAGAGAGCTTCTCTTTTTGCTAGCCTCAATGAGCTTCAGAAATGAAAAAGCTTCAATAACACACTATCCATTGAGTTTGCTTACACTTGCTACCAAAGCGTCGTTGCAGCCTACAGTAGGCACTTCTCCGTACTATGCACAACCAGCCCAGTTCGATCCATCTCCATTTCCTGCATACAGTCGCGATGATTCCATTTTTTTTTCATTAGAAATTTTTTTCAGCCTTTAAGAAACCATTTGTAAGGTGTATATATCGATAGCTATACTAGTACGGAGCTTAAGTCATATTTGTAGTTAGTAATGTCAAAGAGATCCGCTGAAGATTCTATTACCAGTCTGAACGGCCACTCCGCCGCCAAGACGTCTGCTTCGGACTTGCCACCAACGACCAGTGTCGCAGACACTGGTGATGACGTTGAGATGGGCGAGTTTGAAGATCCATACGGAGACGATTTTGAATCAGATGGAGAAATTATTGAACTTGATTCAGCAGATGAAGATGATGAGTCCGAACCTCAAGGAATTGAGCAACTTGAAGCAAAGGAACGCCAACAAGAAGAACCACAAGAGACAATCTACCTCCCTCACAAATCAAAGCCTTTGGGACCAGACGAAGTGTTGGAAGCAGATCCGTCAGTTTACGAAATGCTTCACAATGTAAACTTACCTTGGCCATGTTTAACTGTCGATATTCTCCCAGACAGTCTTGGAAACGAGAGAAGAACATACCCTGCATCATTATATGTCACAACGGCGACACAAGCATCCAAGAACAAAGACAACGAATTGATAACCATGAAGTTGTCGTCTTTAGCCAAGACCCTTGTGAAGGACGACGATGACGTAGACGAAGAAGAAGAAGACTCAGACAATGAAGATGTCGACCCTATAATGGAATCAGAAACCATTCCTTTAAAATACACCACCAATAGAGTCAGAGTATCACCTCATGCCCAACAAACTGGAGAGTACCTAACCGCAACTATGAGTGAAAATGGAGAAGTCTACATTTACGACTTGCTGTCCCAATACAAGGCATTCGACACTCCAGGCTTTATGATCCCTAAGACCGCCAAGAGACCTACTCATACCATTAGAAACCATGGAAATGTTGAAGGGTACGGTTTGGACTGGTCCCCACTCATAAACACTGGTTCCTTACTTACCGGTGACTGCACTGGTCGTGTTCACCTCACCACCAGAACCACCTCTTCATGGTCCACTGATAAGACCCCATTTTTTGCATCTCAAGCCTCCATTGAAGACATTCAGTGGTCAACCGCTGAACAGACAGTTTTTGCTACCGCCGGAACGGATGGTTACGTCAGAATCTGGGATACTAGATCTAAAAAGCATAAGCCAGCTATTTCTGTTGTGGCATCTCAAAGCGATGTGAACGTCATCTCTTGGTGTGACAAGATCAACTACTTGTTGGCATCTGGTCACGACGATGGTACCTGGGGTGTATGGGATTTGAGAAATTTCAACGGGAAGGAAAAGCCAACCCCAGTAGCCCACTACGATTTCCACAAGCTGCCTGTCACTTCGATCTCATTTAACCCACACGATGAATCCATCGTGGCAGTATCATCCGAGGACAATACTGTTACCCTTTGGGATTTGGCAGTTGAAGCGGACGACGAAGAAATTTCTCAACAAAGAAGAGAAGCTCAAGAGTTGCATGATATACCACCCCAATTACTTTTTGTCCACTGGCAAAGAGACGTCAAGGATGTTAGATGGCACAAGCAAATCCCAGGTTGTTTGGTATCCACTGGTGGTGATGGGTTAAATATTTGGAAGACAATTTCTGTATAATTTTGAAAATGATATAATAAAAAGATAATTAAACATGACAAGTAAGCGGAAGAGCGACACTGTAGAACATTCAAGCCATTTTAAGGAGTACCGAGCTGGTTATAGTAATCTATACTACCGTCCCAATATGGTTGCACTTCTGCTGAACTTTGGGTGCAAATCCTGCATACGGCCAATATGAAAAATTGTTGTCCCACCCATCGCCCTAGATCAACCACTAGAGCAACGTTTGTCTTCTTTTGCTGAGCTTTGCGTACCGATTTCGAGATGGCCAAGAAAGACAAGAAGTCCAAGGAGGCCAAAAAGGCCAGAACTGCAGAAAAGCAGAAAAAGAATACTTCGAAAGCCGAGCAGAAGAATAAGAAACTAGCTAAGAAAATTGGAGAAGAGGACGAAGACGATGCAGACATCGACGCCATCTTGGAGCAATTTGCTAAGGAGCAAGAAGAATTTGAAACGGTTAATGTAGAAGTGTGTAAGAAGCCGCCAAGTAAGAGACTCAATCCCACGATGGTCCTGAATCCTACCCACAACAAGCGTGAATTGATGTTGTTTGGAGGAGAAGCCATCAGTGAGACCACTGGCAAGGCTCAATTTTACAATGACTTATACACATACACTGTCGATAACGACACCTGGAGAAAATACACTAGTAAGAATGCCCCATTACCAAGATCGTCGCATGCTATGTGCGCACATCCTTCAGGAATCATATTGATGTTTGGAGGAGAATTCTCCTCTCCAAAGCAATCTACGTTTTATCACTATGGTGATACTTGGATCTTAGACGCTGATTTGAAAGAGTGGACCAAGATAGATATTAAAAAGGGAGGACCCACTGCAAGATCTGGTCACAGAATGACTTGCTGGAAAAATTATATCATCATGCATGGGGGTTTCCGTGACTTGGGTACCATGTCCACCTACTTGAATGACGTTTGGGTGTTTGATATAACCACGTATAAATGGCACCAAGTAGAGTTCCCTCCGAATCACCCCATTCCTGATGCTAGATCTGGACATAGTTTCATCTCATGTAACGATGGTGCTGTATTATATGGTGGATACACCAAAGTTAAGGCAAAGAAAGGCTTACAAAAGGGTAAAGTTCTTACTGATTGTTGGATGTTGAAAATGAAGGCAGACCCCAGTGCTATAAGATTTGAAAGGAGAAAGAAGCAGGGTTTCAATCCGTCCCCCAGAGTTGGATGCTCCCTTGTTTTCCATAAGAATAGAGGTATCTTGTTTGGGGGTGTGTACGATTATGAAGAAAGTGAAGAGCAATTGGATTCAGAGTTTTACAATAACCTTTATTCCTATCAAATTGAAAACAACAGATGGTACAATCTTAGTTTGAAGCCAGCTAGAAAGCAAAAGCAAGAAAAGAAGGAGAAAACTAATAGAGATGAAGATTTGGAAGAGATTTTAAACAATATTCTTGCTAAGGCTAAGTTACAAGACAATGATGACGAGGAATTGGATGAAAGTGAGATTGAGAAGTTGAAACTACAAGAAGCCGAGATTGAAGACGACGGAAAAGAAGTTGTGGAATATCCTATAATGAACCAGCTTCCTCATGCAAGATTCAATGCTACTACCTGTGTTGTAGACGACACCCTTTACATCTATGGTGGTATCTTTGAAAGAGGGGAACAAGAGTTCAACTTGAATTCGATGTATTCTATTGATCTAGGAAGATTGGATGGAGTGAGGGTTTTATGGGAAGACTTGAGCGAATTGGATAAGGAGTACGAGGATAGCGACATGGATGACGACGAAGAAGATGACGACGAGGAAGATGACGAGGAAGATGAAGAAGGCGACCAAAAAGTTGAAATAGAAGAAGCCGAAGAAGAGGAAGAGGAAGAGGAAGAAGAAGAAGCAGAAGAAGAAGAAATCCCAGACGTAAGGCCCTGGTTACCTCAACCAAAACCATTCGAATCGCTTCGTGCTTTCTACGTCCGTACAGGAGCACAATTTTTGGAATGGGCTATTTCTAGTAATAGAGATGCAAGAGGTAAGCACTTGAAAAAGGCTTCCTTCGACATGTGTGAAGACAGATTCTGGGAAAGAAGAGAAGCTGTTAGCATAGCGGAAGACAACTTAGAAGAGCTAGGTGGTGTTGGAGATGTCATTGAAAAGGATACTAGTAAAACCACCAAGAGAAGGTAGTGAAATATTTAACATTAGAACTTTACAAATTGATAGACTATTAGTTTTTTTCTATGGCTGTAGCCCTTTCTATTATACAATGACTATAAAGATTTCTATATATATTATGTTGGTAGGTTGTTCCAAGCAGTCAGATATCAATTGAGTAATGTTCACTTCAATCTTACCATGCGGAATTCAATGCGAGTTTGCTTTTCTACTTAAGCAAAATGGATTCCAACTTGATGGAAAGCAAATAACAATTTTAAGAAGTCAGTTTGGTCCATCTTTGAAGATCTCTGCTCAGCGAATCCTGTTTCCCTCAATACCTGTTCAATTTTACTTTTGACAATGTCTTGCATTGATGAAGCATCCACCATCATCAGATCGTCATGCTCGTTGTTGTTAGCTGCACTAGTAGCCAACCAAGTTTTATAGTTCTTTTCCAAAATTTCCAAAACATTATTAGACTTAAAACCAGCGGCTATGGTCTTATTCTTACGCACGAAGCAGATTCTCAACAACCCATCCCATTCATTGAAATCAATGTTTGGTCTAGGTTGCTTGATTTCGATTCTCACAACCGATGATTCCACTTGAGGAGGAGGTCTGAAATTGTTCTTACCAACCTTCATTATATGCGTGACATTGGCCCACATTTGAACGTTAGCTGAGAGTCTACAGTAAAGCAGATCACCAGGTCTAGCCAATAATCTCAATGCGAATTCTCTTTGGAACATAAGGATTGATACTCTTGGAGGTCTAGGCTGATTCAACAACTTAAACACCAATGGCGAGGAAATTTGGTAGGGTGTGTTGGAGATGCAAACGTCAAAGTAGGGAAGTTCAGTCTTCATGAAATCTCCAAGAAGGATATCCAACTTCTTCTGCTGCGGAGTACCGTGGACTCTCTTGGTCAACTCAGCTGCCATTCTAGGATCCATTTCTACAGCAACAACCTTACGTGCTTGTTCTAAGATACGAACAGTCAAATTACCAGTACCAGGACCAACTTCTAAGACGATGTCTGAAGGTTTAATGTTAGCCTTATCTACAATACCCTGAGCTACAAGAGGGTTCTTCAAGATATGTTGACCCAAGTTAGTGTTGAATTTGAACACAGAATTTAAGTGCTTTTCTGCCGAAACAGTTGCCCCTGTAGGGTTAGGTTTTGTGGAAAACTTCTTTGGAGCAGCTTTGGCCATTTTATGTGTTCAACTGGGAGCTATAAGCTTAGGGCCATACACTGTGGGGATCAGCTATTGAAATTTGAGATGAGCATCAAAACGAAGCGCAAAAAAAAAAAAAAAAAAAAAAAAATCGAAGAAAGTTCTAAATAGATGGTGGGTTATATGCAGGTCACGGACATCGGTAGGTAATGGGTGCAAATAGACCAGGTGTTTTGGACCATCTAGTTGCTTAAGCTTCATTTCTCTAGGCTGGTGACTTGCCTATTCTGAAATAAGAGAATCTGCTTTTTTGAATGCCGGAAAAAAGGCGTCTTAGCCGTCTATTTGATCGCATGAAAGAAGTATTGCCGGTGGATCTCGATAATTTTCTGCTCGCCAAAACTTGTAGCAACGAGGGTGCATTTGAAGGTGCATTAGGCGCTATTTTTCATTGCTCGAGGCCCCAGGTTCTACAACGCATTCAGTGGACCAACTAGACAGAAGAGACTCGCAAATTACGACGAAGATAAGAGGAACTGCGTGTTGCTTCTAGGCTCCATTCCCATTTTCATTCCCCTAACCCTTTTTCCTTTCCTTTTTTTATTTTTTCTTTTTCTTTTTCCACTTTATAGCGAACACATTCCCCATTACTACACCCCAATTGCAACATGTTTGTTTCATATACGCGTTAACGCCTACCTGCATGGCATGTCCTAAAAAAGTTAATTCCGTTCCTATGCTTGACTTTGCTAGCTAAGTCTTCATATATGTTGATGCCAACCGGAATAACCTCTGAACGGGTGAAAAAAAAACAATCTTTTTTCACCAGCAGCAAGACATTAACTGCTTCCATGTTATTTAGCGCTGTGTTTCTAGTACTATTGGCTTATTGAGTGCTACTATACCCATCTCGCTCCGGAGTTGTGAATACTAATTCCTACGCTGTGCTACTGAAGAACGAGCACCAAAAAAAAAAAAAAAAAAAATCGTAAACAAAAATAAAAATAAAAATACAAATTCAAACTCAAGACCAAGTATCAGATCACCCTCCAAACCGAAGCAAAAAACCACCCAAAGCACCCTAATTACGCTGTTTTTGTAAGTATACCAACCTGCTGTATGGACCGGCTTTCGTCAATTCTAAACGAGACCCCGCGGTTTTCGTTTTTCAACGAGTTGGTCTCCATACCTTCGCCCCTGGTGCTGCAGCATGATCTATTCAAGATAAACAAAATCATAGATGACATTATAGGATACTTGTACCAGGTGCTACGGCTGTTTGACAAGGTCAAGTCGTCGAAGACGGCCTCGTCGCACATCGAGGTGGTCGACTTGGAGTACTATTTCGAGGGCAAGGACGAGATCACAGGAATCATCCAAAACATTCACAGCATTGACATGATCATCACTCAATTGTTGGAGGCATTGGACAGCTCTCCGAGCCACAAACTCACAAACCAACTTCTTGATAAATTTGAGCAGACGAGTGACTTGCTCTTAGAAGTAAAGAAAAATACAATCGTGTGTAAGAAAAAGCTTGACGTTGCCATCAACTACAAGGATATGGAGCGTGTTATTGAAAGCATAGTTCAGGAAGTGGAAGACTGCGAGAAGATGAGTGCAAGAATGTTGCTGGAATTGCAACTCTCACTGCTGTCGCCTGCGAGAGCCGACTTACTGAAGTATGGGCTTGAGAATATTATATCCAAGATGCATGGCCAAAGCATGATTCTCCCCACCTTCAGTACCGATGAAGAGGAGCAGTATGAGGCATGGTTAAGTTTACACACGAGGCTCCAGCCGTTGAAAGTCTCTCTTGACTTCTTACCCATGCGCATGGGAGAGTTTGAGCAAATATGCCAGAAGAACAAAAAACTAACGAGCCACATCGACTCTAAATATAAGCATCTCCTGGACAAATGGAATGAACTACAAAATCAAACCAGGAAAATTAAACATAACTTGCTCGTGTTGAAATGGAACGAGGTGTTCATTTTCTTGATCCATGAAGTAGCAAAGACATGCTCTCATCTATTCTTGCAGGCCAAGACTAGTCAGATAGCAGCTACTAGGGACGAAAATTTCTCTAAGCAGTACAAACTCTGCTCTACCACAATCAACATCATAAACAAGGCATTTGCAGAAGAAGTAGTCAGCGACACCAAGTTGATCATATTGTTCAATGAAGAGTTGTTACCAAAGTGGCATATGTTGAATGATATGCTAACGTCAATGACTATTTCTCCTCGCTTGGTTTCCTCTTCATCTTTCCAATCCAACTCACAAAACTCGAAAAAGGAAACAACGGAAGGAATTGGACTCAGGCCGTATCGTATACTGAAGAAGAGTCCCTCGCCGGAGGCTATAGACAATGGCTACGGTATAGATCTTGGAATGGACATTCAGAAAGTGGAAGTTCCTTATAGCATTCAACAGAAAGATAAAGTCAGAGATTTTTTCAAGCCATCCAGACAGCCTCCACTTCAACTACAAAAGGTGAATTTACAGTCTCTTAATATTGAGCACTTCGAGGAAGTCGATGTAGAAGGGGAAGACGAAGACGACGATTATGACACTTCTACACTTGTTACGTCAAAACGGTTCATTTCATTAGAAGAAAAGGAAATAAACCAGGGCTTAGCTAGTATTACTATGGAACAAACCAAGCAAGAAAAGTGGGCCCTTTTGAGAAGAAATTCGAAATTTAAGAGGTCTCTTGTCCCGCTCATACAACCAGATCACTTGGAAGGCAACTACCCACGAATCCAAATGAAAATAGTTTCCAATTCTAGAATCCCAGTGATAAGTCCCAACCATCCTGTACACCACAGTCTGAATTTGAAGCCACCGGTTGTTGTCACGAGAAAGAAAAGCACTAATGATATGTTTGTCAAGCCAACTGGGAAGCCCTCAGTCATAGGAAGGAAGCTGCTGGTGAAAAGCATACCAGACACACTGCCTCTTACATTTCAGTCCCCTACATGGAGGTCTTCGTCGCCAGAAAGACCTCTGTCAGCCATGGGATCTAGATACGATGAAGAGCATCTAGTTCATCCTATCGAAAGCCCAAAAAGATGGAGATAATCGATATATATATATATATATATATATATATTGTATGATGTTCCATTTATGTACACTAATATACAGGCAGAGATACACTCTGCAGTTTCATTTATTTATTTAACGTCCAGCTCCAGTCCCCTTATATCCTGCTCTTTACCCTCTTTCTTCATAGTCTTACTAGTAAACCCATCCAAAAAGAAATCACGACCAAATAGCCTGTACATTAAACTTTTCTTCTCGACTTCCCATTTTTCAACTTCATCGAACTTTCTCACCGTCTTATCTTCCAAGATTTCACCTTCTTGAACCTTTTTAGTCGATTTACCCTCTAGCCTACGGTACATTTCATAGGTAGAAATGGCCAATATTGGAATCGAAAACAAAATTGCATACATTCCGTAGTATCTGACCTTAATTTCCTTTGGTGCCTTCTTCCAGTTCAACTTTCCATTCTGTCTTAAGTTCTTACGAAATTCATCATCTACTGGTGTAGGCTTGGGTTTGGGTTTTGGCTTCACGGAATTTGTCTTAAACACAGTTTTGTTCTTGTTTCTCAAAAACGGAGAAGCATTCTGTTCTTGGTTCAGCATCGTTTAAGCCTCGGTGTACCCAGTGAAGCTTTAGTTGTCCCTAGAAACAACCTCCTCTTAAACTATTGCAAGCAAAAGTTTCATATAAAGCACGTGTTATATGCAGTATCAAAACAGCCCTAAAATGGTTGCACTTTTAGTTGATTTCTTTCATGGCTGATATCTTGGTGTAAACTCTAATAATTTGCCACACACAGTCTTAATTGAACCAGAACAAGTGTATTACTTCCAGAGAAGTGACGGTGATTGGCACATCTGAAAAAAAATAAATATTCAAAGCTTCAGAAGATATAGGGCAGGAATGTCAATACCAGAAAACCAGTCTTAACAAATATAAACCTCAAACGAGATAGTTGAAGGTATAAAAGCTCATACGTCGTACTTGATCCCATTACTCAAGCAGATTTGTATATTGTAATTGTATAGCAGACTACAGTATACTATCTCATCTCTTTTCCAAAAAAAAAAAAAAGAAAAGAAATATTATCAAGGCCGTCGAACAACTCTATGAAACTCTTTTATGACAAAGATGTAACTAACCTTAGCTCTCTTGTTATAAGAACTTCACTAGCCACAGAATTGGCTTTCCGGAGAGAACCGGAAAAAAATAGATGGAAGTAGCCTGTATTCCATTTCTCACTCGCTGTTCAGGTGTCAAGCCTGAGATACTAAAGTCTATTAGCTAGGATTCTGAAGTTTGGGTATAGAGTAAGGTTACTGGCTTTCCTGGTGATCAGTCTAAGATGAGCGTTGATGTTGCGGAATTGAAGCTGGAAAGATTGCTGAGAATTGAGAGATCCAACAAGACATACCAAAAGAATAGGTTTACCCTTGACAGGCTCAAGTACACACACATATATAGTATATATTTGTAATTACATAAATGACTTGCGATACCGGTATTCCCAAGAACTTCACCATAGCACTTCTCTAGTTGCAATCAATAAAATGCAGCACTTTTGAAATGCAGCACTTCTGAAAATTTCATAGCGCACCAAAAAAAATTACCGTCTTGGTAAAAAAATTAGTGTGTATGGTTGTTAGATTTTAGTTGATACTACAAATATTATATATATATATGTATTCATCCTCCCATCCGTCTTGTATATAGCTAAAAGCAACACATGGTATCATGTATAGAATAATTCATCGATGTCACTATACGCATCGAGCAATAGGATGCACCTTCCTACGACCTTTAATGTTTTCATATGCATATTCCAAGAAATCATCGCCCCAACCATCTCGCTTCGGAAAGCTCTCGAATAATGTGGTGTCTTTCCTCCAAAATGAATCTAAAGCTCTAGAAAATGCTATTGGAGAACCCGAAATACTGTATGACCTTCAAAACTATGGAAGTCATAATGATATTTATAGCTCGTTGGATCCGTCTATACGATCACAACTAGATCTGACTTTTGAATTGCATAGAAAGTTGTTGATACTCCTTTCATATAAGCCATCCAAGAAGAGAATTGACCCAGAACTCTATATACATTTGCATAAGCAATTAGATAGTAGCCCATTGGATGTAGACCAAATAAACCTTTTAATTCGACGGTTGACATTCCATCGGAAATTTGATTACATCTGGAAAGTCATCGAGGACGGGGGAAGCACGTTAACAGACATAGAAGATTACATCGAAGTGATTTGCTTGGAATTAAAATCCAGTAACTATTTTGAAATTGGCTTACTCGAGGTGATCTCTTCTGCACGGAATGTAATTAAAAGTTCAGGCTTGAAGAATTCGATTATAGACACTATATGCTTCAAGTATGAGAAGAGCAGAAGCGGCATTGAAGATGAAACTCTTCGTTTATTGGAATATAGGACTACCATTTCCCTTCCAAATATCATTGATGTGGATCCGATTATGGAGCTACCAGGATTTATATCGTACGTTTCAAGTCCATTTTCCGTGAGGGACCTTGTTTCTTCCAACGTCAAATTCCAATTAAATGAAAACGATATTCAAAAAGTCCTCGAATTCTCCTCACCAAATGACTATCACTTACTATACCCGTATTATAAAGTTATTTTGAAAGTATCTGAACCAGATTTTGTCGACAAGTTACTAACTTCGATGATGAAACACAAGGCAACACAAAATATCGTACATTGCCTTCAAAGTCTCAATAGTCGAATTTCCAATGAAATCTTGACACAATCATTAGCATATACATATATCCACTCCTCAATCGAAACTTGGCTCGGAATTTACTGGGGCATTCCCATGAAAGTAGAGAAAAGGGCCCAAATATCCGAAAATTTCGCCAAAGTTGTACTAAACTCCATGAAGCTAATTCACCCAGGATCTAGTTTGGAATCCGAAATCTTGTCGCTCATTTCAGTGCTACATAAAAATGATTTATTACATAGAAATGTCTTATCCACCATATTGAATTCAATGGATCAATCAGCTAGTTTCAGCTTTTATTTGGAAGTACTGAGACTTGGACTAGGCATGAGCAACTTTATTGATTTAGTAGATAGTATTTGTCAAAAGCATTCAGAAAGAGTCAATTTCAGAAAATTATCCACTGACAAGACGACTAGTGGAGAATTATATCAGAACTTGTTTCAAACCTTCTTATATATCAACTTCAAAAGACAGAGAGAAGAGGGGGTAGACGACTATCGAAAACTCTATATAAATTCGACCAAGTACGAACGTTCCAAGTCTATTCATAGATTGCATCTCTTCAGCAAGCCAATTTCCCAACTTAGTCTGAAGCAAATTGCAAGCATATTAAATTCACTCGAACACTTTGTTAATCATTCTGGGGATTTCAAGTTTGAATCTACTAGCTATGGGAGAAAGCACCTTCTCGATAAATTTATTGCACAAATTATGTTAGAAATAGATCGAAAGCATAAATCACATAGAGGAATGCGTAAAATAAGGGATATAATAGACCAATTTCAGTTCAACTCGACAACGATTTCACATGAGTTACTTTATCAGTACTTAACCAAATACAACCCAGATGTACCATTTGAAATAGCCAGTGAGTTTTCAAAAAACAAACCTTCTTTAACAAACGAGAAAATGAAAGGAATGATGATTGGTATGTTGACCACACCATATTATCCATCTACAGCTAGAGTTGAGCATTACTTCAGATTTTGTGAACATTTGAAGGAATTGGGGTATAAAAATTCCACTAAGAAGAAGCCTATAATAATGTTGATTGACCTTATTGTTAACATTAAAGTTGAAAACCCAAATGTAGAGTTCAATAATTTTGAAGACATATTAAAAATTGCAATGCAGAGGAGAGTCAAAAAGTCTTTGTTACTTCATTGGTCCAGGAAGTTGATGTTACTGGAGGAGTTAACGAAATAGCATAAAAAACGGATTTCAATTATTCATTTACATAAACATAAATGTACATAGATATACACGCATACACATACATATAGTTATCCATTAATAAATATTTTAGCATATAAGAACATATTATGCCACGTCAGAATTCTTTTATCAGAGTAAGTTGACCGTACGTATCGTAAAATCATTGTTTAATACAGTTTTGATGATTATTCACGGAGGAACAACCTTTACCAAGATGTCTCTTCCATATCTTTGGGGCATCTGAGCCATCTTCATGCGAGGGGGACATACTCTGAGCCTTACTTTACTAAAGAATAAGGGCGTGTGGCGTAGTTGGTAGCGCGTTCGCTTAGCATGCGAAAGGTCTCCGGTTCGACTCCGGACTCGTCCATTTTTTTTTTTGGTCTCGATGTCTATTATCATTTTAACTATTTTTGGATCAAGTGTGCATATTAAAAAAGGTAGACACTGATCTAGTATCAATTTTCAGTTTAAGAGACTCTTTCTGATCGTAAATATTTAGCTATCTTTTGTTCCTTCAACTCCATTCTATTTACAGTGCTTAGCTTGAACATGTGGAAAGAAAATTTATCTAAGGAATTCGGCCAATTCCCAAGACCAGACGTCACTTTCACGTATGGAACGGCTGGGTTTAGAACAAAGGCAGATATTCTTGACTATGTCAACTTCACAGTAGGTATATTAGCGTCAATTCGTTCCAAATTTCTTCTTGGTAAGACCGTTGGTATTATGGTAACCGCATCCCACAATCCACCTCCCGATAATGGTGTAAAGGTTGTCGATCCAAACGGGAACATGTTGGAATCAAGCTGGGAAGAATATGCAACAAGATTAGCGAACGCTAGTCATGAACAGTTGGAGTCAATTATCGAGCAATTAGCCCAAGAGTTGAAAATCGACTTGGAAAGTAGTTCCAGTGCTGTAGTAATCGCTAGAGACTCTCGTGAGTCTTCTCCTAGATTAAGTAAAGCCTCTCTTGTAGGTGCAAGTGTCTTCGGTGGTGAAGTGAAAGATTTCGGGTTATTCACCACTCCTCAATTGCACTACGTTACCAGGGCGATAAATGATCCCTCATTTGGAGAACCCACTGCTAAGGGTTATTACGAAAAGATGTCGAAATCATTCAAGTCTATTTATGGCCAATGTGGTGGTGAAGATGACCAGAGTATCTCGATTACCATTGATGCCGCCAATGGAGTTGGTGCACCAATTACGGATGAATTTTTCGGTAATTATCTTGGCCAATTCATCTCTTTTAAGCTTGTAAACTCAGACTATAAGACACCATCCTCATTGAATTGGGACTGTGGAGCTGACTTTGTTAAGACAAACCAAAAGCTCCCTAAAAACGTAGAAACACCAGAGGCAGACAAATTGAATGCATCTTACGATGGAGATGCTGATCGTTTGATTTGTTATTATGTTTCGAAGGAAGATAATAAATTCCATCTTCTTGATGGTGACAAGCAGGCGACTTTGCTTGCTTTATTCTTCCAACAAATCTTCCAGCACTTGCCTGGCCTTGACTTGAACATTGGAATAGTACAAACCGCATATGCTAATGGCTCATCTACAAAGTATGTTGAAGATGTATTGAAGCTTCCTGTTACTTTCACCAACACTGGTGTCAAACACTTACATCACGCTGCAATTGAATACGACATTGGTGTATACTTTGAAGCTAATGGCCACGGAACTGTCGTTTTTGATCCGGAAGCTGAAAGAAAGATATTTGCTTACAAAGGAACCAGTGATGTGGAAAAACGTTCTATTTCTATTTTACAGGAGTTCACGTCTCTTATCAATCAAACAGTTGGTGATGCAATTTCTGATTTGCTTGCACTTTTGATAGTTTGCAAATACTTGAAGTTTTCTCCTTCTGATTGGGACAAATCTTACACTGACCTTCCTAATCGTTTAATTAAAGTCATCGTACCTGATAGACTGATCTTCAAAACCACCAATGCGGAAAGAACATTGGTTGAACCAAGTGGGTTACAGGAAAAGATTGATACTTTGGTGAAAAGGTTCAAGAATGGAAGATCTTTCGTTAGAGCTTCCGGTACTGAGGATGCTGTCAGAGTCTATGCAGAGGCTGATACCTTGGAAAACACAGAAGAGTTAGTAAAATTGGTTGGAGAATTGGTCAAATGAGATTGTCAGTAGACCTCCACGACCTACCTTGATAAATAACACTCTAAATACAAAAAGAGATAGTGCTTACATATTTTCGATATAAAGGTGTTAAACCATTGTGTAAATGCTACTTATGCTAATTATGCTCTGCTTATTCCCCTCTGTAATGGACCTTTTTGAACTCACCAGGAGTTGTCATATTTTTCAACCCCCAAACCCCTCTTTTAAACTTCTTCGCCCTAGATTCAAGTTTCCTGTACCACGATTCATTATCCCCAAACTCAGCCCCTGTTCTTGCCTCATATACAATTCCCACCCCATTCCGAATCATTTCGGCACTTACATCTTTCCTACCGGTCCACTTCCACACTTGGGCTCGTGCGACTACTCTTTTATATTGGTCGATCAGATACGGGGTAACTCTGACTTTTCTATCCATAACGTAATCTGTAAGCCATTGCAATGCTTCTTCAGAATGAGGCTGTGCTGGCTTTCCAAAGTGCGCTCTCTCTGGAGCATCTACGCCGCATAACCTAATCATCAACGTTTGATCTTTTAAATCGGCCCTTGTTGTAGGGATTGGTCTGAGCCAACCCCATCCCATAAAGATCCCCCCAGGAGTATGGTAGAATCGAAAATTATCTCCATCACCAACCCTCGTGACCCTACCATAGAGAGATCTGTTACCATCAAGGTATTTTGGGGTTAGGTCCAAGTAAGTTCGTATACGTCTCACGTACCGTCCATAGAATCTATATCCGAAAATGATTGATCCAGAAACTCCAGCAGAGAGAAGAAGAACTTTTGGATGCAAGACACCTACAGAATCTACATTCGAATCAGATTTATCTGACATATTAAAGCAGTATTACCCTGATAAGCAAGCTCTTCCAACTTCAATATATAGAGTTGCCGAGCTGTTTGCATGTTCGCATATTTGCTTTTGGGTGTTTACATAAAAAATTGTCGGAAGATGAAATCTAGTGCGGCTATATATTCCGATGAGGCTTCAGTAATCCCACTTGCGCCTCTTCGTAAAAGTAAAAGTGCTGCAGAAGTCAATACACAGCCAAATACCCTAAAAATAAACCATTTCGAAGGGAGGGAGTGGGCGTACACGCAAAGGTATAAAGTAGACCAGTAGCCGATAGTTAGAATCAAGGTCCATCCCTCATTATTTTCTTGCTACTCACATTTTTCTGTTTGTTTAACTTTACCATGAAACTTCTCTTAGCTGCAAACTTTTTCACATCTCTCGCTGCCTTTGTTCTATTGATTTTTGCTCTTTTGGTTGGTGTATCGGAGAAGAGTCCTTTTGGTGAATTATATTGGTCACAAGTGAGCGTATCTGGATCATCAGGATCGAGCGGTGGTACAAGATGGACAAATTTTGGCGTTTGCTCTTTCGCTAACGGCAAGAATGTTAACTGTACATCATTGAAGTTCCCTTACCCGTACAATACGCAGTACAACTATCCCAATGGGATTGGAGTAATCGATAACAGCGAGTTAAGAAGTAAGGAGAGCCAAATGAAGGCAATGTCTAGAGCAGCACCAATATTACTAGCGATTGGACTTATATTTGCTTTCTTTTCCTTACTTTGTGTACTACTTGCGTGTGCTTTGCCAGTAAGATTCATAATAGGGTTCTCGAATTTTATTGTGTTCCTTGGGTTTATCGTCACCGCTGCCGGAGCCTCACTATTAACCTACGTGCACATATTTTCTGTCACTACTATTAAGAATGATGGCGTTAGTACTTCGACTGGATCTAAGGCGTTTGGTTTGCTTTGGGCATCCGTTGCAGCATATTTGATATCTATCGTTCTATTTTCTGTAACTTGGATTAGAAGAAAAACACACAAGGGGTACCAGAAAACTGGTGGTGACGATAGATCAGATTCTCATTCTGAAAAGACAAGCAAGTATTCAGATGGAAAATAAATTACATATGTCCCTTAAGACTAAGAAGAACTCACTAAATAAATACTTTTTCAATAACTAGTAAGGTGAGCGTCAAATACACTTTAATATGTAGCGGGGGCAGAGTGGCTCGCTAATGCATGCTCTTGCTGCAATACGAACCAAGCCAATGTTCGATTGCCTAATTGAGCGCCAATTACGAAAAATAATAGAGAAACTTCGAGCCTCTATAAAGAAAGCAATTGCATATCTATGGAAAAAATGATATTTTACTACTATAGAAGTTTAATTTTCTTCACGAGGCTTTGAAAATACTGAAACTTTATTCTGAAATACTATCGTAAGTTAGCTATAGCTGATTGCTTCTACTGGGATCTTTGGAGAGTATAGGCTTACACTGTGACAATAGGTTTTCTTGATTTATTGTTCATATACTTGCTGTTTATACTCTTTTCATGTTTTTCTTTTAGGTTTCATTAGTTGACATTTAACAGAATGAAGCATATTTTAGCAGTTGTCATTTTATTTGCAACCTTCTATGTTGCAACATCGAATTGCTTAGGTACGGCATTGCCTGATGGTGGTATCTTACTTGACTTTGAAATCCAAAGCGGTGACACATACGACACTTTGTCACTGAAAAACGGGCCACACTTATACAAAAGAGATGGTGATGTGAAATTGACTCTTCGCAATGAACTTAACATGTACGTTGCTACCCTTGAGGTTGGATCTAATAACCAAAAGAATACAGTCGAAATTGATACATTTTCATCAGATTTATTCTTTATGGCCAAAGGAGTGAAGTGCGTTGAAGATGCGGACTTTTACTATGACTACTATGACTTATACTATGAAAAGAGAAGAAGAAGAGACTACATCTCCAAGCAAAATAATGAAGATTTTGCAGAACGTGATTTCGTGGGTGATTTCTCTAGCTCATTTGATTCCGAGACTTCTGTATATGGTGTCGAAACTGGTGATGCAACAGACTTTAGGGTTGAAACAGCCACAGGAACATCCTCTAGTGACACTACCACAAACACCTGTACTAACTATGGGTCATTTGAAACATCGCTGTCTTCATCATTCAAAAGGAACGAAACTGCACCTGCTTTTGTGATCTTTTGGGATGACGGCAGTGCTCATGGAATATGGGGACATGATTCAATTAAAATTGGAAGTACTACTCTTGACTCTGTATCATTTGCAATTGTGGACGAGTCTTCAAAATTCATTGGTGGGCTTGGTATTGGTTTACCTGGACTGGAGAATACCAAGTTCCTATCAAAACTGGAGAATGTCACAAGTTATGAATATCTGAATTTCCCTGTTCTTTTAAAACAACAAGGTGCAATTAAAAAAATGGTGTATTCACTATATTTAAATGCAGCGAGTGCCTCAGCTGGCTCAGTTTTATTCGGAGCAGTTGATCATGCCAAATACTCTGGGACTTTAGTAACGGTTCCTGTACTTGGTAATGCTACTTACAGTCCTCATGGCATCCAAGTAATGGTTGATGGTATTAGCATGGAAGATGGAAGCAGCGACATTTCTATAACTTCCAATAAATACGCTGCTACTTTGGGTACTGGTTTCAGTTTCACGTACTTTCCTGAAAGTTTATTCTATAAAATTTTAGGCTCCTTAGAAATTGTTGAATATTTAAACTATGATTATATTGTCAATTGTCCCAAGAGTACCGATGATTTTGCTATTAAATTCAATTTCAGTGGTTTGACAATTTCTGTTCCATATTCAAATTTAGTTAGAGGTTATTATTCTAATTCATCTGCAACTACTGATCAGTGTTATTTAGCATTTGGAGCTACGTCCGAAGATTTTATAATATTAGGAGAGAACGTTTTGAGTAGCGGTTACTTTGTTTATGATTTAGAGGATTTAACCGTTTCCTTAGCACAAGCTAAGTACACTGATGAAACCGATATAGAAGTCATTTCTAGTAGTATTCCAAGGGCTAGCAAAGCTTCCTTGTACTCATCTACAAATTTCGAGACTGGAATTGTAGAATCGTCTGCGGAAACTATTTTCTCTTACGCAACTGGAACCTTTACGTCTTACGATCTTACAGCTGAAGCTGGTATCTTTGAAGCTACTGAAACAAGTTCTGGAGCCCAAACTGGTTTGAAAACAGGCACTGGATCTGGCACCACTAGTTCAAAATCCAGTTCTTCTCCGACTACTTCTTCGACAACGAAACGTTCTGGTGAGGAAAAAATAGCCAAATATACTTTAATTAGTAATTTGATTGCTTCAGCTTTCGGTTTCTTAGTACTTGTTGCCTCTTAAATGATTCAGAACATATATGCATTAATAAATATTGCGGAAGTTTTTAGAGCCATTTGTAAGATTCACTCATGTCCTTTGAATATTTAATGTTCATGAAAAAGAAGGGGAATAGCATATCAGTCAGAAAAGGGGTTAGTTGAATAACAACAATAATAGTGGCGATAATGGCTTGATCTCCCCCCCTCTGTTTACCATTGGTGCTTTCGTGTTTTTGTGTTTTCAAAATAGTATCGGCCACCCTGATGTACTTCCAGGTTATGGGGCTGTCACAATTGCGCCTAGTTCGTAAAATGAGCGATGTTGCATAATTCTTCTATGTTCCTGGAAAGGCTAAAAATAACTCCGAATCATTTATAATCAGGTGGCTTAAGAGTGGATAGTAACTTCATCCTATATATATATAAGTAGTCATAAATATCTAGTGCCAGATGTAGTACGTCATTAATCTGGGTTTACCTGTCAATTTTTCTGGTTCCAATGAGGTTAGTAAAAATGGTCGCAGTTTTCGCAGACCTTGTGCTCTTGATTTTAGTCGCCGTTGTGGGGCATTCAGAAGCAGCCCTACTGGATCAATTAGTTGTACCAGCAAACGGAGAACTGGCAAATGATATGGCACTTGGCTGGTCTGACTGTCTTTCTGAGTTATTCTTCGACGGTAGAAACGTTGCTTGTCAATTACACGTTTCAAGGATTCCTGATAGCGATTTGCATAGCCAAAATGATTATGTAAGCGCACCAAATGCTGCTGCAGGTGCTAAGTTTATAAGAGAGCCAAGGCAGCTCTTGCAAAACATGTCAAGGGCCGCAGTTGTTTCGGTGACCTTCAGTCTCTTGTATTCTCTTTTCGTTTTGTTTTTCATGACTTTTGCATCTTATGTACAAGTAAGGATCACTCTAGGGGTTTTCAATTTTGTTATGATCTCAGGGGCTATTTTCACTGGCATGAGTGCAACACTTATAATACTTGTCCACGAATATACCATAATAACTGGTGCTGAAATGAGAGATGACAGCAGCAGTTTCCTATTACTTTGTTGTGCTATAGTGTCACACCTGGTCTCTGCTCTTCTAATCTTAAATACAGATATGAAGAAGAAGATACTAATGGAGGAACGGCATGAAAATGATGGGCGGCTCTGTGTCACCTGCTGATCGTGTTCAGAGAACCTCTTAATCAAAAAACGTCCCAACAAACCAATACTCATATATCTTAAAACAGTAAATATGCCAAAATATACAATATACATTTCAAAATGTATTCATTGGCGAATGCTGAGTCAGTACTGATTGAGCGAGACATCAGTGAATTAATTGGAACTGGATGATTTCGAGTCAGAATAAGCACCCCCTTGCAACATATATAATCGAACACATTGGGTTGAGCACACCTATTTGCTCTCCCAAGAACTTCTTCCTTCTTATATCCATCTCTTCGCCATGTTTGTCTAGTGATCAACTCACCTTCTAACTCCTACAATATATTGGGTGCAAATTATGCCCTAAAATGGACACAAAATGGTTTCGCGTGGACTTCCTCAAATTGCATACACACCAGGCGAGCGCCAATAAATTTAGGACAGGGACAAAAACCTGAAGCTACAGAGCGATCCAAAATAGGCTATTTTTGGTTGTTAGGTAAAGAATCTTGATTTATTAGATTACAATTTCCTTAAAATCACTTTTCTTTTTCGGTTTATTTTTTTAGATTGGCTGATTTCCTTTGGCTTGTATTTGATAATTGTGGTGCATTTTACTTATCACTAGAGGGGGCTTTAAAGTAATTATCATATATATAGAATCATACTATCATTGTACTCTTTCTTGATATTTATTATATACTAAAATGACCACCTTACCAGATGGCGAATATGATATAGATCTATCCATCCTTCAAAACTCAACACATGATCCTTCATTAGCCATTCGTTACGGATTCGTGCCGGATTCCATGGATCAGAACAAACCTATAACTTTATATCAAACGGATCAAGAGCTAATACTAAAGGCAAGCTCAATTGAAGATGGCCAGCTGATAATATTCGAAGGAATGGGCAAATCTACCAGTAATTCAGCACCTGCCGATTCATTCTATTTATCATACATCAACGGAAATATACATTTGAACAAATTGAAAAACACCGTGAGAGTCAACAAGTCAAGGAATATGGCGAAGTGGAACGCCAAAATTCAAGAATGGAATAAAGTGAAACCAAAGACGGTTCAAGTGCCAAAAATACGACCAGAGTCTGAACGTTCGGCACCTGTACGGCCAGAGCCAGCAAGAGCGGACCCTATACGACCAAGGGCGGTTGCATCAAAGAGGCCATCGTCTAAAAGGCCACCAAAAAGAGAGGAGGTTAAAGAAGAGTCCCCCATCATAAGTGAATCCGACTTTGAGGATTTGGAAAACGAGTTCCCGGAGTTCACTTTTGATCAGGAACCAGCAGTTGAGAAAGAGAAGCCGAAGACTACAATAACTGAAAAACCACCAATAAGTGGGAAGAGACCAACCACAGATGTGAAAGCTAAAGGACCTGAGAAAGGGAAAGACGTGGACGACGACTTTAAAGATTTAGAAGATCAATTACAAGAAGTCTTGGAAGACGATATTGCCATAGGCGACATCGATGACAGTGATGACGATGACGATGATTTCGACGATGTCAACTACGGTGGAACGGGTGTCCCCATTAGAATTGAGATTGACGAAGGTGAACCAGCAAAATCTGTGAAAAATACGCCTACTTTCACGTACTCCCCTGCATTCCAAAACGAAAACAAGAAGCCAATGAGCTTGAAAGAACTAATGAGAGGTAAGAGAGGAGATTATGACAGTAGTAGCGAAGAGGAGTAGAGCTCATACATACATAGATATATGATGAAAAGTATGTGTAATTATAACTATATGCAGTACACAAAACAAGCCTCATATGGGTTTTTCATTTTATGTAGCACTTTTCAAAACGATTTTCAGTCTTCTTTCAGTGCTCTTTTCTCTAGTAAAGTTTGTTCTGATGCCGAAAAGAAACCTCGATTTCGATGACTCAAGTGTCGCGAAGAAGCAGTCAGTAGAATTGACGTTTTTACCTCATGCTAATCCAAGCTATTTTCAATCTTTTGCTCACGATTCGACAATAACTTGCGTTGCATCATGTAAGTCTGTAGTAGTAACAGGAACAAAGACCGGTAGCATTGCGTTCTGGAAAGAGGAAAACGGTTCCTTGACTTTTGTAAAGCAGTTTGTAGCACATCGTAACAATGCAGTAGCTCAAGTTACCTTCTCAGAAGATGGCGAGAAAATGGGATCATTAGGTGAAGGAGACAGTTCGATAAAGATTTTCGATATAAACACATTTGATATGATTCAGGTAATAGATTGTAAAATACTTCCTAAAATTATTTGCTGGTGTAGTTATGAAAAAGCAGAAAGGATAATATTTACAGAGGGCAAAAACATACATATTGTAGAACCTAATGGAGATGAGCAAGAAGAACCAAAAGATTTGGTTCCTTCGATCCATAGATTTCCCATCACCAGTTTAGCCTATAACGTGAAATATGGATTTTTAATATCCGTAGATAGTAAAGGCTTTATTGAGTACTCTGTCCCAGGAGGAAATTTTCAATTGCCTAGTGGTAACGTTACGAAGTTTAAGCTGAAGACAGAGACTCAATTATTTGACTTAACGAAGAATAAAGTTTCGTGCAACAAGCTAATATACTCAGAAACATTTGACAAGTTTGCAACTGTTTCTGAAGATGGAATTAGAGTTTGGGATGTTCTTACTGGTAAGATTATCAGGAAATTTAACAATGGAATCAATATCAAAGGGTCAGTGGCATTTGACCCTTCTGGACGATACATAGTCTGCACTAGTAGCGAGGAAGATGGAGGAATCAAGGTCATATCCATAGATTCAGAGTCCGTAGTATGTACTTATGGGCAACTGGACGCCAAGACGTATAATTATCTGTTTAAAGAGTTTTGCTTGCTAAACAACTCAGATATTTCTAATTTCACGATAGATATGATATCTTCAGAAAACACCTTGTTGCAGTCTAAATTACAGAGAAACCCCATACTTGTTTGCGGTGCAGAGAACTCTAACAAATTATTCATCTTTAAAAACCCCCCAGATGTACCGGATAAAAGTTCGAACGGGGATGTGCCAGAACTCGGAAGAGACCGTTCTATCCAAGTCAATAAGACCAGTATACTCAAAGAAAGGAGGAAGGGGATTCTTTCTCAGCATGATAGAGTCACCATACATACCACTCTTGGCGATATCACGGTGAAACTTTTCAACGACCAAACACCGAAGACGGTGGAGAATTTTCTTACCTTATGTGCAAGGCACTATTACGATCATATTATCTTCCATAGAGTGATCAAGAAATTTATGCTACAAACAGGTGATCCACTAGGAGATGGAACAGGGGGAGAAAGTGCATGGGGCGGCCATTTCAAAGACGAGTTCAATCCGATATTGAACCACAACAAGCCATTTATGTTAAGTATGGCCAATGCAGGTGCGAATACCAATGGATCCCAATTCTTTATAACTACGGAGCCCGCTCCTTGGTTAGATGGGAAGCATACGGTATTTGGAGAGGTTATAGAAGGCAAAGATGTGGTTAGAGCTATAGAAAGCGTGGAAACTGATAAGAACGATAAGCCATTGGACCACATAGTGATATTGTCCACAACTCAGCATGAAATAGACTAAGAATTTAAACTTTTGCATGAATACCAATTTATTATAATTTATATAGCTCATATTATAGAGAAAGTATGTGAAACCATCTGTAATTCTCGAGTCACTTAGCACCATCCAGAGTTCTCTTCTTCTTGCCCGGAGATCTTCACCGAGAGTAGCTCCGAAAAAAAAATCTGGGGAACAAAAAAAAAAACAGAGTGCATAATTTTTCACTCATGACTCTTTCTTTCTTCTTCAACAGTAACCAGGAATATGTCAATACGTTACATTGAAAACGCTAGAAAGATCCTTTGCATAGGTCGTAACTATGCTGCGCACATAAAGGAGCTTAACAATTTTGCTCCTCTGCAGCCATTTTTCTTCTTGAAGCCTACTCTGTCTATTTTGAAGCCCAACAGTGGACCATTCTTGGTTCCTAAGGGAGTTGTTGTACACCACGAAGTTGAATTGGCTATCATCTTGAACCGTGAGTTGAAAAACTTACCTTCTACCTTTTCTGCGGAGGAGGCCCTCGAGTGTATCGATGGTTATGCCTTATCTATCGACATGACTGCTCGTAATGTCCAGGACGAAGCTAAGAAGAAGGGCTTGCCTTGGTCAATTGCCAAGGGATTCGACACATTTCTTCCATTGTCCAATTACATTCCTAAAGAGAAAATTCCAGACCCTTACAACGTAGAATTAAGTCTTAGTATCAATGGGGAAGAAAAGCAAAGAGATTTGACTAATTTGATGATCTTTCCTATCCACAAGATCTTGTCCCATGTGTCTACTATGATGACCTTGGAGAAGGGTGACATGATCTTGACCGGAACTCCAAAGGGTGTAGGAAAAGTAAATCCAGGTGACGTAATCAGGGCCACTATCTCTTCAGATGGTAAATTGATCGAAGATGCTACAATTGAGTTCACTGCCGAGCAAAAGCCTGGACCATATGAGTTCAAGGAGATATAGACTTTTGTTATGTTAATGCATATTCAACTTTCTAAATAATTGTAGATTTTCTTTAGTATTATATAAAGACCCCTTCAGCTGGAGGAGAGAATTGGCGCAATACAATGCCTGCTTCACTCATTACTTTATGGCTCAAGTCATCCATTGAGTAGCTTTGCGCAAAGACCACCTCTTTGATCCCACTCTGCACAATTTTGATAGAACAGGTTAGACACGGGCATGTGTTGCAGTAGAGCACCCCTCTGTCGCTGGCACTTCCTATCCCAGTGATTCTATCTCTGCCAGCTTCTAAAAGAGCATTCTCTTCGGCATGCAAGCAAAGGCATGTGTTTAGCCCAGCACCGCTTCCTTGGCCCTTGTTACATCTAGGACACCCACCTTCATTACAATTGGTCAAGTTACGAGGAGTGCCGTTATACCCAGTTGCTACCACTCTATTTCCCCTAACAATCACACAGCCCACTCTCCTCTTCATACAATTGGACCTCAACGCAGCAAGGTCCGCAAGTCTCATGAAATAGGAGTCCCACGTAGGCCTCAATCTCGACATATCGGTAAGCACCAATTCTGAAAGTTTAATGTATAAGTCCTTAATAGACGAAGAAGTATTTATGATTTTGATTTGAGCTTGGTTATTGATTTCTATGAGTGGGTTCTCGGGTGCAAAGAGTAGCTTATCATTGTCGAGAACGAACTGCGTCAAGCCAGACGACGTGTCGTCGCTTCCCGCCTTAATCAGGCGCTGGAATCTGAGCTGGAGTGGAGCGTCAATAGATATATGTAAGAAGAACGGTCTCTTTTGCAAAGTCTCAAGCATCTCTATATCCCGCATGTGAGAGATGACAAAGTTGGTTCTCCAGTTGAGTGTAACGAAGTCCAAAAGCTTCTCGAGTGAATTGAACGTCTTGTAAGGCTCAAGAGACGTTAACGAAATGTCGGACGGTAAGTCATCGTTCCCAGATATCGTTTGCAAAGAGGGATCATCGGAGGGAGGAGGTGACACAGAAGGTGATTTCAAATGTGTGGGGCACTCATCGGACTCGGAGTAGTCGTTACTGTAAGATATCAATTTGAACCCTTGAAAGGTAAGATAACGCACGACTTCCGTCTTACCGGCACCCAAGGTTCCAGAAATTCCAATCAACATAGCGAGAAAGGTACACTATAAGCAAGACAGCGAAGTAGATGGGATCAAGGTAACGTAAACAACGCGTTAGTAGAGCTGAACTTTATTTTTCTACGCACCTGCTTGGAATTTTTCAAATTGAGAGAAAGGTTGCACTTTGGAGGGTGGATGATGGTGGTAGAAGTAGAAAATAGAACTGGAATTTGTGTAGAGTTAGGAGGGTAATGTTTTCTGGATTGGTGATTGGTATTCAAAACTGGCACGGTTTTTCGTAGTAGAAATGTTATTTATAGGAGACGTTGTCTGTATCTTTAAAGATATCACATTGGGGTCATTGTTTGCAATCTCAGCGTATATTAAACTGGTACCGAGACCAGTTTAATGGAATATAGGTCACCCGATTTTCACTACAGTGGAAATTAGACCTGAAAGTTGAGTGAGTTGTATATCGTTCTCTTAGATAGTTAAGGAGTTCCTCTTCCCTTTCAGCTCTGCCTACATTACAAGTCAACTACTTAGCCAGTGTAGTAGCCTGTCTATGGTTGCACTGGCCTGCATATTTCAGGACTCGGAAGAACGTTGCACTGTAAAATACGAGACACTCACTGGCTGGGTCAAGCTGGGATAGTTGAGCAGCAAAGGTGATGAGAACATTGCTATTCTTTCTATGTATGCCCCTCTAATAATAAGCGAAGAGATTTCCAGACCAACCAACCTGCCAATTCCAAGTCCAAGTCCGTACCCCTCCTGCTGAGTAGGTATACATCCCTTTCATCTCTCTCTTTACTTCCTCCGTCCTCTTTTAGCTCTCGCTAACCGTATGCGCACTCTCCCCCACTAAACGCTCCATGACATAATCGTTTTTGAAAATTCCTTTATCGTGCGACCGGTACACCAGACGTAATAACTCGAAACCTTCAAGGACATTTCTTTCCAGTGCCATTCTTAATTCCCTTCTTTTCCTTTCATTTTCCTTTAGTACAGTAAGTAATAGTGTAAAAGATGATTCATTTGAACGTACTATTATTATTTCTAATATCATATTTACCTCTCGTTACTGCCAAGGATGGCTACTGTGCAATGTATGATACTTGCGGGAAGAAGTCGGTGTTCGGAGCTTCATTACCATGTGATACCTTCACACCTGCCACCGTTCCAAGTGACTCCTCCGCTGCTTTGTTAAAGCAGATCTGTGGGGCAGATTTCCCAATTGACAGAGTTTGCTGCTCTCCGGCGCAGATCTCTGCACTCCAGTCTAACTTGAAGAAGGTGGATCCCCTTATCAGCTCTTGCCCAGCATGCAAGAAGAATTTCTATGACTTTTTCTGCCAATTTACATGTTCTTCAAACCAGTCGAATTTCGTTAACATTACCAAGACTGGAATTGCTAGTGATACAAAGAAAACAATTGTCACTGAACTTACTCAATTTGTGGATCCTGACTATGCCAGTGATTTCTTCCAGTCATGTAAGAACTTAAAGTTCTCAGCAACTAATGGTTACGCTATGGACTTGATTGGTGGTGGAGCAAAAAACTATCTGATGTTTTTGAAGTTTCTTGGAGATGAAAAGCCACTATTGGGAGGAAGTCCATTCCAAATAAATTTTCAGTACGATATTGATGAAGCTAGTAATGACAAGAATTTTACATTAAGATCGGGTCATGCCAGAAGCTGTGACGATCCAGAGTATAAATGTGCCTGTTCGGATTGTTTAGAGTCCTGCCCAAAGCTTCCACATTTCAGAAACTTTGCTAAGACTTGTACAGTTGGGCCCTTTCCTTGCTTTTCTTTCCTTGTCTTGCTAATTTTATCCATATTGGTAATTGTTGGTGCTGGTTATCACATTTACCTTCGCAAAATGAAAGCACAGAAACCAATCTATGACCCTCCAACTAGTATGATTTACCCTAGGAGACAAAGTGAAAGCCTGGTTGATTTATCTAAAATGAATACTTACTTAATCGAGTTACTGGAAGAATTAATACTGCGTATCGAATCCTTTTTTGAACAATTAGGCTTATTCTGTCTGTCAAAACCCGGTACCACTATTGGAATCACACTTTTCCTTGCTTTACTCGCTACATATGGCTTAAAATACCTCACTTTTGAAACTGATCCAGTAAATTTATGGGTTAGTCCTACAGAACCAGCATTACTAGAGAAACAATACTTTGAAGAAAAATTCGGCAAATTCTACAGAGTGGAGCAGTTAATTATTCATTCTACAAACGATAGCGAGCCAGTACTCAACTGGAATTCTATAGAATGGTGGTTTGCAAAGGAAAAAGAATTGCAATCGTTAAACCTGGACTCTCTTCAATCTATATGTTTTAAACCACTTGGTGAAACTTGTGCAATTGAATCGTTTACACAATATTTTCAAGGAGACATAAATTATATATCACCAGCTACTTGGAAGCAAAAATTGAAGAGTTGTACCGACTCACCGGTAAATTGCTTGCCAACGTTTCAACAGCCATTGAAGCGTGAGCTCCTTTTCAGTCAAGAACCTGATGTACTCCAGTCCAGTGCATTCATCGTAACTATTTTGATTGACAACACTGTTGACAACGAGGCCGCAGCAATTGAATATGAGACTTCCTTGATCCAATGGATCAACTCCATTCAACCTTCTGCCTCAAAATTAGGATTGAAGATAGACTACCTGACAGAAATCTCTTTAACCGAAGAACTCAACAAATCTACGAATATGGACGTTAGTATCATCTTAATTTCGTATCTTATTATGTTCCTATATGCATCAATTGCTTTAGGAGGTGGTATTAAAGCCTCTGAATTATTCAAAGTGAGATCTTACATTAAAACAAGATTCCAATTAGGACTTTGCGGAATATTGATTATTTTGCTCTCAGTGTTTTCTTCGGCCGGGCTATTTTCGTACTTCCAAATAAAATCGACTTTAATTATTGCAGAGGTTATTCCCTTTTTAGTGTTGGCAGTTGGAATTGATAACATTTTCTTAATCGTTCATGAGTTGCAGGCGGTCAGCTTGGAAGACAAATCCTTAAAATTGGAAGAGAGGGTTGCCAAATCATTAAAAAATGTTGGTCCATCTTGTCTTCTTTCTGCATTTTTACAATTTTCAATGTTCTTGATTGCAACTAATGTTGACATGCCAGCAGTTAAAAATTTTGCATACTATTCGGCGGGAGCAATATTCTTAAATTTTATATTACAAATGACAGTTTTCATTTCATTTTTGACAATTGACCAAAGGAGAATGGAAGATGGCAGATTAGATTTGATTTGGGTCAAGATTGGTGGCAATATAGAACTAGCAGAAAATGCAGAAGAATCGTTCATTGATGATGACGAGTCGAGTGTGTTGACAAAGTTTATCACTACAAAATATGCCCCGTTCATACTTGATCCTCCAAACAAAAGGAAAATCCTCACATTTTTTATACTTTTATGCGGTGCTTCGCTTAGTTTGATTCCAACTATTTCTTACGGATTAGACCAGAGGATTGCTCTTCCTAGAGAATCATATCTTATCGATTATTTCAATTCCGTGTATTCCTATTTGAATGTGGGACCTCCAATTTTCTTTGTTTCCAAGGAATTGAATGTTACTGAAAGGTATAATCAACAACAGATTTGTGGGAAATTTTCAACTTGCGATGAATTTTCGATTTCAAATATCTTACAACAGGAATATAAAAGAGGTAAAAAGTCAACAATTTCAGAACCTCCTTCAATTTGGTTAGATGATTTTTTAACATGGTTGAACCCTGACTTAGATCAATGTTGTAGGTTGAAAAAGACAACCTTGGATTTTGATAAACCAGAATTCTGTTCAGTTTTTGCTCCTGAAAGGCAATGTGAAGCTTGTTTTGAAAACCACTCACCCCCATATTCCATAGATATGAAAGGATTCCCCGAGGGAGATCAGTTTATGTACTATTTCAACGAATGGATTGAGCAGCCGAGCGATAACTGTCCTTTGGGAGGAAAGGCACCATACTCAGGTAGTATATCAGTGAACAAGACCACTGGATCAATTGACGCGAGCTATTTCAGAACCAGTCACAGACCTTTAAGATCACAGGATGATTTTATTGTCGCTTACAAAAACTCTCTTCGTATTGTACAGGAAATTAAGGACTACAGCACAGGAGATTTGGAAGTATTTGCTTACTCTCCATTTTATGTATTTTTTGTTCAATATGAAACCATATTAGAATTAACGCTTTTGTTGCTTACATCTGCAGGAGCAGTTATATTCTTGATATCTACTGTGGTTATAGGGTCTCACAAAGTGGGATTGGTCGTAGTTGGATGTATATCTATGATCATTATCAATATTCTTGGGGTAATGTCGTTGTGGTCAATATCGTTGAATGCGGTTTCGTTGGTTAATTTGGTGATTTGTGTCGGGTTGGCAGTTGAATTCACTATCCACATCGCAAGAGCATTTACCAGAGCAGCAAGCTCCTTAACATCTGGAACAGAAAGATCAAGCTATGCATTGAAGACTGCTGGTGGATCAGTATTTACTGGGATCACCATGACGAAAATCATCGGTGTGAGTATCCTTGCATTTACGAAATCCAAGATATTTGAGGTTTATTACTTCAGAATGTGGTTTTCTTTGGTGGTAATAGCAGCAGTGCATGGTTTATGTTTGTTACCTATCATGCTTAGTTACCTATAGAAAGTTCATAAAAATTTCTTCACTATGGTTGCAAATTATGCTGTGCAACCATTTTCCCAAAACATAAAATATTCGTACGTTTTGGGAATTCTTGTTCTACATATAAGACCAACACCAAATTCCAACTACCTGTTCTAGCACTTTTTAGTTGACGGAGTACGGAGCGGCGGCCTAAAAGGAACAACAAAAAGCTAAAGTGACGATTAAAAATTATAAGAAAAATATAATAAAATACAAAAGAAAAAAAAAAGAATATTTATCTTTACAAAATGTACGTAGGTTACATGTAGAATACATAGGAATGCTACAATGACCATATAAATATACCATCCCTCAAACTATTGTATTAGACGGGTAGAGCGTACCACAGGCAAACGCAAACATTTGAAAATGGTCCAATACGAATTTTGAATAATCTTCTCTTGCTCACTTCTCTCTTGCTCCCATTTCTCTTGCTCTCCTCTCTCTGGCTCTCCCTTCGTCTCCCGTCTTCCCCTGCATCTCCAGGTATTTTCTTGCCAAAACTCACTCACAATTTCCCACTCACAGTTTCCCATACGCTACCCCGTTTTATATTTGCTCCCTGCTGCACCCGCGCAAAATTGGCGTGCATACTGGCGCCATTTGGGAGGTGATTTTCTATTTTTGCTGGGCCGATGGCTTGCCATTTCCTCACTCGTAAAGTCTGAAACTCTCGTTTCCGCACTGCTTCCCGCCTATTTCAAGATCTCGGTGGTCACTAGCACATTCCACCGCTGCATTAAGCTATTTTGTGTGACTTGCCACACTTTTGTGTAATTCGTCTCCCCAGCCGTGTAAATAGTGACAAGGGTCTGCAGGCTTCTATGTAAAAATTTCTCCAGAGGCTAAGCAAAGGCTACAAAAAAAAAATTACGGTCTAAAAAAAAAAAGACAACTTATAGACAAGTATAGAGCAAGTTAGATAATTATCTTTCGTTTTTTTTTTGTTTAATTATACGCTGTACACTTTCTAATTATGTCTACGTTTACATTTTCATGGTATGTTTTGAATTGTGGGAAAGGTTTGGGGAGCAACCTTGATGGAGCGAGGTTTGCGGTACAGTCCCTGGTGGGCGACATGGCAAACGGGATAGGCGGTGAGGAGAGGGTATGAAAAAGGTGAACTAAGTGGATGGAGTTTGTGAAGAGTGGACTGGACTTGATACCACTGACTACGGAGGACACGAGCAACACCATTGGAGGCAATTAGGGCCGATTTACTCGTTGATGTGTGTACAGTGTCGTTGTATGAAATGGCACTGTGTGGCTTCGCGAGCTGAAAATCTAGCAAGCTTTCTAAAGTGACCAGTGGGAAGTGGAAAATGGAAAATAGTACTTAAAATACAGTTGGATATTCTATGAAATGGTGATTAAGTGCTGTTTTAGTAACTGGCTACTCGGACTTCGTTTTGTTTCAGTCTACATCTCTAGATTTCAAACTACTTCACACCTTCCAACTTGCGTTCCTAAATGCTTGCCTTTCGGCTCCATCCAGCCCTCCATTATAACTCTTCTCTAAGGTCCCCCGCCATAAATTTGTAGCTCTATACTAACATTCTTTTTAGGCCTGCTGGTCCTCAAGAAGTTATCCTTACCGGTACCTTTGATAACTGGTCAAAGACCCTCTTCTTAGTCAAGCAAGCAGACGGTTCTTTTGAATTGACCGTTCCATTACCATCCTCAGACGAACCTCTCCTCTACAAGTACGTTGTAGACGGCGAATGGGTTGTTTCTCAAAGCCAGAAAATCTCCAAGGACGAATCTGGTAACGAAAACAATGTCATTGACAAAGATGACTTGGTTTCAGCAAGTACCAAGGGTAGTGTCATCCCAGAATCTGGTTTACCAATTGCTGCAGTAGCTGGTGCTACCGCTGTCGGAGGATCTGACCTTAAGACCACTGTCTTACCAAAGGAAGAGCCATCCCACCCAACTATCGCTGGTGAACCAGGTATTGTTATTCCTAAAGACCCAGAAGCCTTGGAAGCTTTCAAGACCGTAAGCGATGTTGACCCAAAGACTTTGAACGGTGAAACTGAGCCAGAACTTTCTGCTGAAGAAAAGAAGAAGCAAAAGAAGAAGGTAAAGAAGAGCAAGTACAAGGCTAAGAAGAAGAGTGCCAAGACTGGTACCGAAGGAACTAGTACTGAAGAACAAACTCCAGAACCTGAAGCTCCTGTTGCTGCTGCTGAAATTGCTGCCGTTCCTGCTGCTGTTGCTGCTACTGAAACTCCTGCAGCTCCAGCATCTGATGATGCTACCGTTGCTGCCAAGACTGCTGTAGAAAATGCTAAGGTTGAAGAACCGGTTCCTGAACCAGTCGTCGAAGAACCGGTCGCTGTTGCTGCTGAACCAGCCAGTGATGCTGGTGTTCACACTTTAGATCCAAAGGCTCACCAAGCTGACACTAGTGCTGAAAACATTCCAGAACCAACTATCGAAGAACACCCAGCTCCAAGTATTGAGAAGACTTCAGCTCCTGTTTTACCAGAGTCTGTACTTCCACTTACTGAGGAGAAGGAAGTTGATGCTTCCCCAGTTACCAAGACCGAAGAAGTCGAAGAAACACCAGTTGCAGCACCAGTTGCTGAACCAGCTGTCGCTGAAGGAAAGAAGGAAATTGTTGATGATGAAGAAATTGTTGTTACTCAAGGTGGTGATATTAACAACTTGAAGGAGGCTCTTGCTGCCACTGAAGGTGACGTCACCATCGAAGAAATCAAGCCTACTGAATCCGAAGCTGAAAGATTAACCAAGGAAGCCAACATTCCAAAGGAAACAGCTGCTAAGCCAGAAAAGGTGGCTGCTCCAGCTCCAGCTAAGAAAGAAGTAGCAAAGAAGACAGAAAAGAAGGAAAAGAAGGGATTCTTATCGAAGTTAAAGAAGATCTTCAAGTAAATCTACTTACACACTTTCTTGCTTTCTTTCTACTCCGTCCTCCCAACATGTTCTTTAATAACAAAATCCCTTTTATGATTAAATTCGCCCTAAAAAAAGCTGTTTGAATGTTGTTCTGTTTTTGTCATTTTAACGAGGTTATACTCCTTTGTATTAACTCTACTATATTGTTCACTTTATAGTATGTAATAGTAATTTTAATTAATATATAGCGAATAAATATATAATAATAATACTGAGTGTGGCCTAGGCCACTCTTTACCTTTGATTTATAGAGCGAATGGTGTAAGAAGGTACAGAATAGGTTAAGGTGAACGGCCATATCTTGGAACACTGCGTTCCAAATATCACTGGACTTGAAGAGACAATAGGACTACACTATGAAGCACGCCAAGGACATATCCCACATCCTCCCTATATTGCATTCTAGTAAGGCACACTGCTAGTGGCATGTTTCTCTACAGTACGGGTATCGATTACGAGTATCTATCCTAGAGATATCTACCATTTCGTGCAAGTGTACCCGTTAACACTGGCTCTCTTACAAATGAAATTAATCGCTCTGTCTACAGACTCACTTGGGTTACACTTTTTATAGGTTTATTATACTATGGTACATTTTCACTTTCTTTTCTTCTTTTTTGGTTTAATTGCCTTTTGATTCCCTGGGATTAGTTCTCATTGCTTAACGGGCTTCAAAACGAACCATTCTTCTGGTTCTAGCTTTGTAAATAACTCTGTGACCACATTCCTTGCATCTGATAGCATCACCTTTACCAAGGGAGAATGAGCATGCACATTGCGCGCAGTTGTACTTTACACCTAATGACTTGTTGATGACATGACCGTGTGCAGCGTGGGATATAGATGCTGGTACCGCAAACCCTTCTCTTTGAGGCGAAGACATGATGAGATGTTGTATGATAGGTGATGAGTAATGGTTGGTCCATCTAGTTATTTTTTCACTCTTTCATTTTTGTAAGCGGCCAGAAAAAATTTTGATATTGGGATAATATGCAGGAAGATCGATGGTTCACCCTGCAGGACTAGCTCCACACTGAAAAAAAATGCTAAGGGCCTGGTTAGTGGTGGAGTAGATTGCAGTCATTCTGGAGGTAAAAGCTAGGCTTATCATTGTAGACACGTAGATGTGCTTGTATTCATCTGTAAATGAGTTCCATAAAAGATGCAATAGTACGAATAGGGCGGTCAATACGACAGGTCGAGGCATTAACTCCTACTAAGAGAAGAAGCACTGGATCTGCTGCATCAAATTCAGCATCCGCAGACTCCACGGTTCCAAAGGAACCAAATCCCTTGCATTATACAACCTTATCGAATGAGGATCTCCTGAAGTACACTCCGCTCATAACAGAGGATTACCGAAGAAAATACTACCAAGAATATTTGAAGCCGCTCAATATTCCCAACCTAAAGACGTTCCAGAAGAACAGACCTGTGTATGATTCACAAAGGGCCAGTGAAAACTGGAAGAGGAAGAAACTTCTGCCATCTGTAAACTACTTGGAAAATCGAATGAAGTTCCTCAGGATGATGGACTTGCTAATTGAACTTACACCTGATTCCTTAAAGCTATCCAATCCTTCCATTTCCACGGTGTACATCCAGAATTTGATATCAAGGCAAGAGTTGGAAAGCAACGAAAACCAATTTCGGGCGGAAACGCCTATATATCACTTCCATGAATTGCCACAGCTCTATATGCCCACCGATGGAGGCGTGCAGAGCGACAACGATAATGTCAGCTTGGATTTTCAAAAGTATATCTACTTCTTGACCCACCTGAAGTGCTTGTACAAGAATTCTTCATCGTTGGAGAATGGGATTATACCCGACATCTTATTGTACACGCACAGTTTGGAAAACCCAGAGTTCAAATCGTTAAGATCAGTCCACACGTTCAACTACTTAATAAGGTATTTCGGATATGAAAAAAACCAGAGCTCCTTTGCTAGAGAGCTACTTTTGGTAATGAACAAGGATGGATTGAAGCCCAACATCGATACTATCAACAACTTGCTTAGAATGTGCAAGACGCATCTGCGGATTAGATCTCTCTCTAGCACTTACAGCGCCGTGATGCAGTACCTAAATTTGTGTAAAGACTTGGAATTACAGGTGAATTTGACAAGTTGGAATATGGTGTACGATCTGATCAGCAATATTTTTCTAAAGGAAATATTTATAGACAAGATGAATAGCATAAACTTGCCTGTTCTGCGGAACCTATACACTAGAATCTTGGATGATTTTATGGAGACTACGAAAGATGAGGCGGAAGTTGTGAGATTCATCGAAGAAGACTTGAAAATTGCCAATTGGAAGCAAGATTCGTTGATATCCAATAAAGTGTTGAGGTTTCAATTAAGAAACACGAAATCTTTGGGTACAGACATCCGAGATCTACTTAGCGAGAATGAATTGGCAGATTCGGCATTTACGTCGACTGATGGCTTAGTGGAAAATACAGAACTGCAAGATAGATCAAGGATTATTGATGAATATACTTTCCAAAGCCTATTCCATCACATCATGTTTCAATCAAAAAATTTAACCAATAAGGCATGGCATGCTGTCAAGCTATACACATATATGCTACAGTACTATCCTCAAGTAAAGCCTAACCCAAAGTCTTTTATCTATTTGATTCGAGGATTGTGTTTGAGTAGTACAAATTACTGCACTGAAAGTTTGATGTTTTTGGTTAGGGCGCTTATTCACGAAGAAGCTACCGAGAAATTGGGCTTACCAATTGTACATAAAAGAATAATGAACGAAAATAATGAAATAGTTAATGAGGGGCCTAGTGAGAATTTTAAGATTATGAGATTATTGGTCGGAGGAGGAGTGTTGAATGAGTTGGAAGGTCGATTCTTGTATGATAAGGGAGAACGAACAGGAGTTTCTATATTAAAGGACCCTTTGACAGATGAGGAAAGGCTTGCGTGGAACCAGTTGAAGAGTAGGTTTAGTGCTTCTAAATTTGCATTTACAGACTCTCCAAGCGACGAAGAAAACATATTAATTGGTAAAATAGAGGAAGCTGAAGATGGTGAGTTAACTAAGTCCAAGCAGTATGCGAACGTTCAAAAAAATAGATCTTTGAATGCAACCTACAGAAATCGATTGGAAAGGATTCATAAGGGGAACTTTAAGTTCACTGTAAACAAGTTGAAGGAAAGGAATTTGATAAAGAAAGCATTGTAAATAGGAAGAGCATAGACGTATATAAAAGAAACGAAATGAAAGTAAGAAAGAGCCAGCCCCGTAGAAGAGATGACGTAGAAGGAGAAGGAGAACGAGAACGAGAACAAAGGATGAGAACAAAGAATGAGAACAAAGAATGAGAACATAAAAGGTACGCATAGCTTCACCGTATCAGCGCTAAGTATACCAATAAATAGGAAAAAAAAAAGGTGGTTCCAAGGGCCCAGGAGATAAGCAATGGCTGAATGCACCTTCGAGAAATCTCATCACACATTCACACATGTAACCGTTTTAGGCTTAATCTGGCTTACTCCAGAACAATACCAAATTGGAATATACTTTGCATAGATTCATCCATTGCATTATAGGCCCCAATCCCGCGTATTCCGAAGATCTACAGCAGCCATCTTATTTTCCATGCCCATGTCACAAACAAGCAAGTGTATCTTATCTTCCTAGAACAAAGTTTATATGTGGTACTTTTCCATCGTGCATACAATCTATTTCCTTTCTAGTGCAAATTTAGTTCACATTTGATTGAGGTTTGCTCCAAACCGACAACAAATCGAACGGTGTGGGAAAAAAAAGGTTAAGTTCGGTAACCCATTTACCAATTTGAAACTCAAGATGTCCCAACGCACTTCAATTTTTGATTCACATCCCATGCAACTTACAATATTACGGTTCCAAAAGGGATACTGATTGAGTCCAATTTAACCCATATCCATGCAAGAGCAATTCCATAATACCTCAAAAGCACATCACCTTTTGACATGTTTTATATATTATTTCCTTGTCTTGTCTTTTCTTTTCTTTTCTTTTCTTTTTGTTTTGTTTTCATTTTGCTTTATATATATCCCTTTCTTCTTGTTCCACTCTTAATTGTCTGCCTTGAAAAATCTCACCCCATCGGCACTTTAAAAAGAAATTGCTTACTTTGGTAATTTTCTGTATACCCTTAGCGCTTCGCAGGGGAAGAATTAAAAAAAGATTTTCCAAGGCGAGCACTGAGAATTACCGTACAACTCAAGCAAATCACAGAAATTTTCCACTCAATTTGGACCTAAGAATAGCACAACATTTGGGCGGTACCTTAAATTAAGAAATTAGCACTATTATTATAACATTACAAGTGATAGAGGGAAATTTGATATTGTTATTATTGTTTTTTTTTTTTTTTCTTTTTTGCTGTTTAAAGTACGTTCATTTTTAGTTTCAACTACCTTTTTGTCTAACTCAAGTTAGTCTAGTTCAGAAGTACCAATAAGGATCGACCTTAGTTGCTACTTTCTTACCCACTTTTGCATTTTATAGAGTTTTACACCATGAATAAATTGTATGGGATAGCCCTCTTGGCTTCGACTGTTCATGGGTTGACCTTGTCATATTGTTCCACCCTGAACATTGGATCAGACTTGACGACTGATGATTATATGTCCAACGGGCTCTGTAAAACAACATGTCTGGCCGCTGGGTATTCCGTCTCTATATTGCAGGGGAAAAACTGCTGGTGTTCCGATGATATACCCTCATCGACGGTTGATTCCTCAAATTGTGACACTCCGTGCCCGGGATACCCTCTGGAAATGTGTGCTTCTAGTGGTTACTACGGGTACTTGGTGATAGGTACTGTAAGTGGGACGTCGACGGTGGGTGGTTCGTCTACAGTCCTCTCCTCCTCGTCGTCGTCATCGTCATCGTCGTCTTCCTCCTCATCTCGAACCAGCACAAGAACGTCAAGTTCACGCACAAGTTCTGATTCCAGTTCCGACACAACACCATCAGAGACCTCCTTATCATCGTCATCGTCATCGTCATCGTCAGATGAAGAAACCTCGGAGTCTTCCTCGGAAACCTCCTCGAAAACAACCTCCTCAGCATCCATAAGAGCAACCACTATATACGAAACTGTTTCAGGCTCCCAGCAGAAAACCACCGAGTACATCACCGAAACTCCATCACTGACTTCAGATTCATCTTCAAGTGCAACTTCTGATTCCAGTACGAGTTCCGGGTCACAATCAGACTCGAGCTCGAGCTCAGCCGGCTCTTCATCTACAGCATCTTCTTCCAAGAAAAACTCATTCTTTGATTCCACGGGTAAGGTTGCTGGAACCTTCACAGTCGTTGGACTTGTAGCGGCTGCCCTTATCGGAGCTCTTCTATACTTCTGGTGTTGCGCAGGATGCTGTGGCTTTGGAGGAAGATACTATAATAACTCGGATGAGGAAAATGGGTACGCATCCGATGATGCCTCCTTTACTAATAAACATGGAGGAATTGTGGTTCCTATGCCACCGACGCCTGGAACCCCTCGGAATGGTGGCCCAAATAACCACTCCCCAAATACCAACAACGGCAGCAACATTGCAACCACCAATAAAACACTCACAAGAGATAATTCAAATAAGTCTGTATTTTCATTCTTTGCCAGCAATGGTGCTGGTGCTGCCCTTGGAAGGAATTCGTCCAAGAAGAAACTCCTCTCCAAAGAGAATAACAGCAATAATAATAGCAATATTGACAGAAACTTCAATTCTACCATTCTAGTAGACGAAATGAACCAGCATCTGGCATCAAACAGCTTTGGTGAAAACGATATTATGATTCCAATTGCCGAATTGGACCACAGACTTGAGCCTGGTGCCGTCTTCTTAGCTACTAATGAGTCCAAAAACTCTCTTCGAGATGAAAATGATTATTCGAGAAGAATCCTTACCGTCACCAATCCGGAATAATACACAAGAAACGAAAATGAAATCTGAAAAATGAAAAACTAGATGCATAGATTATTTAATATCACATTACACGAGGAAAAGGTCAAAGAAAGTGAAGTAGTTAATAAAGCTCCTACTTGATAGTCTTACATATAATAATAAATTTCCGAAATTATTGAGTATACTACTATTGAAGAATGTGTGCACGCGAGAAAGCGTTTATGTAAATATATATGTATAGTCACACCTATATGGATATGTAGAAATAATTCGTATACTACGTATGATTTCATGTACGGCGCTACTTGAGCTGAGAATGTATGTCTTAAGCTGAGAATGTATGTGTGTAGTTACTTATGACTGGGTTTATATGTAGGTGAAAATTCTGAAATCTTTAACTAGATGAGTGTGATCTCAGTCAGCCTCATATCCCCACCACCTGATTTCCATTTCCATTTCCTTCACCTTTTCCTTCCTCGTGCTCGTCGATCTCCTTCTTGTCCTTCTTCCTGTAATCCGGCTGGCGCTCATAAGCATTGGGACTGCTGTCCCTGGCCCTTGCCTTGCCTCTCTTGGGCCTACGATCTCCATGATTGCAATGTGAGTGGTCATGTGACTCGTCCTCGCTACTAGAGCTATCACTTGAACCAGACGATGAAGACGAGGAGTCCAGGTCGCTTTCCTCGCCAAACTCTCTCTGAGGATGGAAAATGCAGCATATTTTACTCTTCTTCTTACCCATATCCTCATTGTCTATGACATCTTCGGTCCAACGCACTCTTGGCTTCTTTTTTTTCTGCTTTTTCTTCTTATCTTGTTGCGTGCCACTGGACTCAGGCCTCAATCTTAGCACTATGTGGTCATCTGGCCCTGTTATGGTCTGTGTTCTTGAGCTGGAGGGGGTAGACTGCTGGTGCGACATCTCGCTGTAGTAGAGCTGTATAAAAGTAAAAAAATAGCCTGCTGGTGATTACCCTTGATCAACTTCTGTCTGATTACTGATGGAGTGACTTGTGCTTCGCTTTTCCACTCACCTCACTATTGCTTTTGATCTTCCCATGCTGCCCCGTGACCGTTTGTCCTGCATATACGCAACAACCGCACACCCAGATTTGCCTATGCACCGAAACTGGTCGGACCACTTCTCAAGCTCTCCATCTCCAGGCATCACCAGTCAGAAGGTCCACAGGATCTAAAACAACGTGCACGGTTCCCGGTTCGAATCTCTCGTCCCGAATCTGCCCCACCCCACAGCCTCTGCGCAATTTGCAAAACTTTCTTAGTAGTTGTTAAAAATACTTGGCACCAAGAAAAATTTACATTCTGGCTATTTCAGTATGGCGAAGAAGAAAAAAAGAAATATCACAAACGTAAATTTTTTAAGGGAGAAAAAAGCTTGGCAAAATGACCCAAAGCTGCTTTAACCTTTATAACAAGAGGTGGTGCTTTTGTTTTGCACAGATGTCTTTTTCTCAGTTCATTTCACAGATAAAGTATTCCCCTTGCTTCTAGAGTTGATTTTTTAACCAAACGAAGTAGATATATAAACAGACCATATTTAACGTAGACTGAGGTACCACTCCCCACACTCAAAGTAAGCGAAGCGATATACACTACTGAAAGCACACTCACTCACAGATAAGAAAACCGGAATTATGAATTACAATCTTCATCCAGTTTCATATCTCAACGCAACTGAGAGAATCATTGATTCAGAGATTTCAACTACGTCTCCAACGGCTTCCTCCCAGTCGTCCAACAACTCCCCAAGATCTTCATTCACATCACAGTCGTCTGCCAACTCACCCTTGGACAGCAAAGATGTCCATTACATCAAGAGAGACACTTTCAACAACGACAACAGATCCTCTGCTCCTCACCAGAACGATTCCATGATGAACACATATTTCCAAGAACAGTCCACCAAGATCCCCATAATAAGCGCAGAACAAGTGCAGCAACACCAACACGAGCTCAACAAGTTCAATGCCCCACCTCCTTTCGCAGCACAGGCCCCTAGCAAGAACTCGTCGGATGATGATGTTTCCCTGGAGGATTCAACCGCCACTGAACCAGCAAAGAGAGTTAAGAAGACTTATAAGAAGATCAAAGAAGAAGACTTAAAGGGCCCCTTCGTTTGTCACTGGGAAAGTTGTACCAGTGTCTTCGAAACCCCTGAAATATTATATGAGCATCTTTGTGATGACCACGTTGGCAGAAAGTCGTCCAACAACTTGTCGTTGACCTGTTATTGGGAAAACTGTGGGGTTTCTACCGTCAAGAGAGACCACATCACTTCACATCTTAGGGTTCATGTCCCATTAAAACCATTCCACTGCGACTTGTGCCCAAAGAGTTTCAAGAGACCACAAGATTTGAAGAAGCACTCAAGAATCCATGCCGAAGACCACCCAAAGAAGTTGAAGAAGGCCCAAAAGCAATTTCAAAAGGAAGCTGAAGAAATGAACAGACAAATGGGCTACAGACAGCAACAAGCTCCACTTCAGCACCATCTCCAACACCCATCACTCCCACAATATCAAACCCAAGGAGGCTACCCACCATACCAAGATTTCCATATCCACAGTGATGTAGGTGTATACCATCAACCACACCATGGCCAACCAATTCAACAGCAAACACCTCCTTATGAACCATTACTGCAACAACAACACCAACACCAACACGAGAACTCTAACATTTCTCAACAAGGATTTGAGCAGTTCGATGGATCTCGTAAGAGAAGGCCTGAAAGCAATGTTCAACTGAACAGCAATATTGTTAGCGTTATTTTAAATGACTTTAACTTTATGAATACTGCAAATGGACAGGATTATGGTAACAATAAGAAGACTAAGTTGGAACCTCAATATAATATTGACATTTTTAACAGACTTAATCAACTTGATGACCATCACCATCCACAAAGTAGTTCCGTTCACCAGCAACAACAGCAACAACAAGCTGCTCCAGCTCCTTCAGCTCAGCAACATGGTGCCTACGGCAACTTCAGCTACAACTCCAACCCAACCCAAATTCTTGAAGCTGAAAAGTTCTTCAACTCTTTATCTTCATCAATTGACGTACAGTACCAAAACTTACTGCAACAACAACAGCTGCAACTGCAAGGTCACTCTCAATTACCACAACAAGTTCCAAGTGGACAATTATACCCAACAATGCAAAGAACTGAACATAGCCAAACCGGATACGTTCCTAACTTCCCACAATACGATAGATCTAGTGGTTTCCAACAACAAGCTCCAGTGTCAATGGAATTTGGTGGTGTTTCATCATACCAAAGAAGCGGACAATCCACTGAGACCAAGAGTTCTGAGGATGACGATCTTTCATCCAAGCTTGAAGGATTATCCATCAAGAAGAATTCAGCTACCATGTCTTTAGATGATGTTGAGAGGCACCGTGCATTGATCGACTTAGTTCTTAAGCACTTAGCTTCATTGAAAGAAAGTACTGAAAAGCCTGTGAAAGAAAAGGAGACAAGAAGCATTTACCCAACAATCACAGCATTTTAAGTCTGGTTTTGTATTGTTAAAGCAGTGGGCATACGGTTATTTTATGATTTTATTTTTTTAATTTATTGTGTTTTTTGCAAAAAAAAATAATTTTAATAAGTTTAGTTTTAGTTTTAGTTTATTATAGTGGAGGTTTGATTACTTTTCACTTCTGTTTATGTGTATTTAATATCATATATATAAGGTATTTTTGAATTAAAGTTATGTACAAGTTTTATAATTCCCCCATTTATGCTGTATCAGCTATTATCCCTGCCCCAAGTACTCTGTTACCATCGTACAATACTAAGTTCTGCCCAGGCGCCATAGCCCTTGCTTCTTCAATTAATTTGATTTCAAAAACATCACTCTGTTCGTCTAATATAATGGATTTCACCTTATTTGCGGAATCTTGTAATGACCTATATTGAATGGAAAGATTACCTACTTGCAAATCCGCCAATTTGTCGGTAAGCCATTCCCAGTTTCTTATAAAAAGTTTACTTCGGAACAAAGCATCATTCGACCCACATTTGACAATCACTATTTCATTGGTGTCTACTCTTTTCTCGCTTACAAACCAAACGCCTTTGTATCTAGGGTCTCCCTGTGGCATTGATATACCCAGCCTTTGTCCGATGGTAGCATGCCATAGTCCCTTATGCTGGCCCCAGATCTTCCCATCTTCGGTTATTATATTACCAGGGTTTGGAGGAATGTATTCATCTAAGAAAGTCCTAAACTTAGGCAGTTCCTGTGATACAAAGCACAACCCTTGTGAATCAGGTTTATCAGCAGTAATCAATTTTTCAGCTTTAGCAATCTCTCTTACCTCTGGCTTGATCATGTGCCCAATGGGCATCAATACTCTAGACATGACATCCTTTGGGAGCATAGATAAGTAGAAAGATTGGTCTTTGTTGGGGTATAGTCCTCGCAAGAGTTGCATTTCTCCAGTCTCTCTGTGTTTCATCACTCTAGCATAATGGCCAGTCACGAGCCACCACTTCCTGTTATGGTCCTTCTCACCAAGCTTGGTGGTCAAATGCTCTATCATTTTACCAAACTTGACATATTTGTTACACCCAACGTCCGGATTTGGTGTTAAACCTCGCTTGTAATCTAGGATCATTGGTTCAAAGACATCGTTCCAATACTCTTTTTCAAAATTAACTCTGTCACATGGAATGTTCAACTGACTACATATCCTTTTGACATCGTTCCAGTCTGTTTCTATACATTTAGATGACTGTGACCAGTTAGCCATATATATTCCCCTAACATTAGGAAATTTCTTTGCGTATATCGATGCTGCAACTGAAGAGTCGACTCCAGAGCTCATCGCGATGATTATATGATCGTCCTGATGAGGAACTAATTGTTCATACACATCAGGGTCTATTTCATTTAAGACCTTAGGAAAGTTGAAAGTGCCTTTATATCTGACTAGTTTCGCCTGCTGCTGTATGGCTCTCCTTATTCGTATCATGACCATCTCAGATCTACAGATGAAGAGATCACCATCAATTTTAATTTTTCATACTCTCATAATTTTTTTTCACCATGTCTCACTTTTTTGTATGGGGAAGGTGTTAGTTTAAGTTTGGGCCCCATTAGACTGTAATACCACTACGCTTGTGCTGGGTCTTCAAAAAGCATGCTTAGGGGCTCAAGAACTTTGGGCATATAAGAAAACTAATCTCAAACAAGAATAATGGGGACCAAGTTCTCCCCTTATCATGGTGAAAGGTCTTCGTGATCATTAAGCATTTTTCAGCTAGAACACAATTTGCACCCAAAATTGTTCCCAGCTTGTACCCGAAATCTAGCTCTTGAGGAGAAGAAATTTCGCTGTGATTGAGAGAGAGTATCTTTAAATGATTGGGTTATGCCACAGTATTGTGTCTTCTCCTTCTCTTCGCTTCTAGAGCCGATCTCCTACCGATAACTATAGATAGGCGGGTATACTTCTTTAGTTAGTAATCAAGGTATCTCGCCTAAATGTATTGAGATACACAATTTAAACTTCTGGTGCGTCAATTCACGTGTGGTATTGATAGAACGAGGTATAAAAGCTGTAGTTCGTTCCTTTTCTTATCTTTGTATCTTATCTTACCTGGACTTCTTTAATTACTAAAAATGTCTAATCCAATTAATTCCCTTGATACCTTGAAGTTCGTAGAACCAACCGATCTCAAGTCCTGGTTCCAAAAATCATCGAACACCGGTGAAGACAGCAAAATTGCCGTTGTTGATGTAAGAGACAACGACTTTGAGGGAGGACATATCAAAGGTGCGTTGAATTTCCCATCTGAAACATTTAATGAATCATTACCTGAGCTTCACAAGAAAGTGAAGGAGACTGATGCTAAAGACATAGTTTTCCACTGTATGCTGTCTAAAAATCGTGGTACAAGGACTACCATTGCTTACCTTGACTTTATCAATTCTTTGCCAGAATCAGAGAGAAAATTATACGAATCGAAGAATGTTTGGGTGTTGAAAGGGGGATTCGTTCAGTGGCAGAAGGATTTCGGTAAGGACAAGCAAGTCACAGAAGATTTTGATGAGGATTTGTGGAGAAAGATCGAAGAGGAACAGAATAAATAACAAGAACAATCGTAATATTCATACTATAGACTCAATAGTCAAAGCAGTGTAGACAAGTTAAGGTTAAATACTGAAATCACTACCAGGGAATCCTTATAGATCAGGTAGGAGGATCCAATTTCTTACCACTGTAGACTCCAAGCTAACACCAATTTTCACTTATATAATACTCATCCTTTATTTCATGTATAGACATGTAAAAGACTCAATAGAGATCCTTTTATACCAAATATGCTCTTAGATACCCTAATACAAATCAGCAGTTGTATGACTGCAATAGATCATATTTCAAAACCAAGCGTAGTCGTCTATAGTTCTTCAGGTCGGATGCATTGTAGTAGAAATCTACCTTTTGTTCTTTCATAAATAGGTCCCTTGGCCCAGTTGGTTAAGGCGCGGTGCTAATAACGCCGAGATCAGCAGTTCGATCCTGCTAGGGAC